ATATATATCTATATATATATATAGATTTATATATATATCTATATATATATATATAAATATATAGTTTAATATCGCTTAAGGTTGTGAGCGATCAATAAAGTATTCTATTCTAAGTCACAGCAGGCTCTGCGCCGTTGCCTAGCAACCTACCTCTCCCAACCCAGCCCTGTTACCTAGCAACCCAAGCAGAGCTCCAGCACATTGGGCCAGTTGGTTTTACCACTGTATTTGCTGTACAATAGCATAATTCATAATGACAAGTCATCCAGGTCACGAGTGAAGAAAACAGCCACAAACCATCATAATGTTCTGTCCAATAAATCAAAAATAACCATAAAAGTTAGATTGCATTATAATCGTTTTTCATTTTTGTCTGAATAGCTTGAAAGTGAAGATATCATTAAAAAACCCTACTGTGGTTAATTCCAGAAATTCAATAAATTACTTAAATTTAATAAATTACTTATCTTTTTAATTTTTTCTGCTTTTTTCCACAAATCATTAGTTTTGTTATTGCCAATTTAAACTTAAAAGCAAATTACAATATTCTGAGATAATCACTCGGTGCAAAAGGTCTGTGTGTGTGCTGCTGTGACTATCAGACCCTGGTGTGTGTGTGTGTGGTTGAGGGAGGACACCAGAGTGCTGCACGCATCATTAGCTCACATAATGCAGTTCTCCAGACCGACTCCCCAAAAAGCTACAATCTTTGTTTTTCTTTGTCGTCTTGTCTTTCACTCTTTCGGCTGGTTTCTCCTACACTTCCATCTCTGGGTCTCCCCCTTCTTGCCTTCTATTCCCTTTTCTCAGCTGGTGTCTCTTTCTTCCAGACTTTCTCAGTCATGCTCTGCTGCCTGTCCTCTATGAAGGCTTTGTAGCGCTTATGAAGAGCGGTAGGAGGGCGGTGTTTTTATACAGTCTGCTACTAAATTAATAACCAGAAAAATGGACCCCCCCACTCCCTGTTGAAAGCATGCACAACATTTTCAAATTGCATTCGGCTTCCAGACAAGTGTCGGCCTCCATATGACAGGCTATACGAGCGTTTGGAGACAGGTGCAAATGCTTATGTTACTGGTCAGTGTGTGTGTGTGTGTGTGTGTGTGTGTGTGTGTGAGACAGACTTCTGCTACATGTTGCTGTGGTGTTTCAATCTGTGTGTGTGTCACTGGACTTGTCCCTCAGGCAGATCATATGTGTCAACAGTTTAATATCTTTGGAAAATTGTATATTCTGTTTTTATTATTGTAGCTCCAGTAGCTTTGTGTCTCTGGATAGTAACATCCTAAAGTCCCATGGCTCCCTTTCCTTTACCTCTGAGTTTAAAAGATAATGGTTTTACCACCAACACTGTAAAAGCAGGTGCAGCATTTCAGCTTTGTTTTAATTTTTTCCAGCCAAGTTTTGTTGCAGCAAACAGAATGGATTACTGAAATAATGGGGGCAAAGCAAAGATCTTTAATGCACCGGCTGCTCTCTTATGATCCTGGTTCTTTGTTACATAACAGCTCTAAAGCATGAGATTTACTTTTGGTCCATTTCCTGGTTGAGTTCATAAAGCCTAGAAATGAGAACATTGTTTTGTATGTTTGAATCGGGGATCAAATAATCAATCAACCAGAGATCAGAACCAGCCGGTTTCCTTTGATCGGGTCAAATACTGAAAGCTCCGAGTTTATTTTCTCCAACACATTAAATACAAGAAAACTGAATAGTTATGTAATTTCCAGTCTATAAATGCATCAACCAAAATCATGTGTGTTGATGCACATAATTTTGCGTAATTAATGTTATATTTAATTACTTAAGGTCCCAATTTATACATTTAGTTCTTGCACTGATGAGCAGGAAACATCTGATAGTGCTTAAAGACTTCCTCTCCTTGGAATTTATTATGCATATCATGAGGGGAAAATAAGCTGTTACTGTCATAAAATATTAAAAGACCACAACAGCTCACCATTTAAAAAAAGAAATTAGCCTGCAAATGGCATTTGTTTAGTTTGTGCTCTGCTTTTTGGGCTCCTAACAGGTTAAATAGAAATAAACCTGTTGGAATATGGATCGCTCCTGTTGCAGTACAGTAGATATAAAAATACTCCGGTGTTTATGTTTGATACATGCGTCTACAAAGCAGAGGAGCAGCAGCTATAATAAACTCCTGCCCTCTACTGGGAGCATTAACATTCAGCTGAAGGCAAAGACACTGCAGTTGGACCCAGTTTGAAGTTCAGCTGTTAAAGCAGGCGGGTTTTACTTGGATTTACTCTCATCTTCAATCATCCTGCATGACTGGCTAGGATAAAAACATATGTCAGGTCCGAATACTTTTAGACCCTTAATCTCTAAATTGCTTCAGTGCCATTCAGAGCTTCTATGTGTTTATTGTTGAGAAAATAATCTACTAGGCAGAAGCTTTTTTATGGCTCTGCTTTCTTCTTGTTCCTCACAGTAGTGGTTGTTTTAAAGCTGCCTGGCTGCTGCTGGAGTTGAACGTGTTTCTGTTCCTGTCAGGTGGAGACGACCAGCAAGCCGGCCTTGGTTCTGTTCCTGATTAAATACCTGATGATGCTGGTGGTGGGGATTCCCTCTGTGTTCTGGGTGGGCAGCAAGAAGACGTGCTTTGAATGGGCCAGTTTCCTGCACGGACGCAGACGCAAAGAGTAAGTCGCCTTCAAGTTTATATTTATAAAGCCACATGATGATGATCGCCAAAGGGATATAACTTTTGGAGGAATGTTCTGCAAATGGGTTAAAATGTTAAGTAAAGAATGAATTAATGACTGCTTGCAGCTAAATGTTGACATTTCTAGTGTGTACAGATATCACAGGCTTTATGCCTTTAGGCTTTAATTGTAATCCATTAGTTGTGATTCTGGGGTTTTTTAGTGTCATGTAGAAAATCTGATAGAAATTAGATTTTTACAAGAGGCAGCCTGTTTTTTTGTGTGTTATACACACAAAAAACTTAATATTTCTTTGAATCAACATTAAATTTTCTCCATGCACAGTAAAAAAAAGCCTTTCCCTGTTAAACGCTTCAGTAGATTAAAACGTCATAGAATATGAATTCATTAGAGATCAGAAAATTTAATTTGTTTAGTTAATAGATTCAAATACAACGGTTATATTTCAAGAATTTTCTTATTTAGTTTTTTATGGCTGGAAGTTAACCCAACATTTTTAATTGAAAATTAAGAGTATGGCATAATAAAGAGAGAAAAGTTGTGACATGGCTTATACTGCTAGAGGACAGCTCTCTTCACTTTGTAGATTAAATAACGTTTTTTGCATTTTATCTGTTTCTGTGTCTCTCCTCTCTTTCCCAGACTCACTTCAGGTCCATTATGAAGTTTTCTTGTTAATGATTTGGGACTCGGGTCATTTGACCCACTGTGTTTATCATGTTTAAACTCAGAACATCTGCCAGGAAGCTTTAGCGTTTCATGCTGCCCTCTGCTGACCGTAATGCAACAAATGCTAAACCTGGTTTAATGACCTGATATCACTGAGCTTCATTGGCCAACAAGCAGCTGTACAACCACCTCAGCATGTCGCAACTCACTGATTCAGAAATTCATTGATTCAGCAATTCATGCAACCAGTTTTGTTTTTTTGGCCCTTAACTCTAGAAATCCATAGAAATAAACGCCTCCATGTTTTTCTGTACAGCAGTGGGGTGAATGAGTCCCGGCAGGTTCTGCAGGAGCAGCCGGACTTTGCTCAGTCTCTGCTGCGTGAACCCAACACCCCGATTATCAGGAAGTCAAGAGGGACGTCTACACAGGTAGGACTGCAGGCTGCAACCACTTTCAGCCAAAAAAGATACTCAGTCTAGCAGAAGCTTCAGGGCAAACGGTAACAAACCTCTGGTGGCTGTTGTAAGATGAAATGAAATGTGACACTGACTGGTTTAAGAATTGGTATAAATGACAAGAGGTGGAGACAGAAATGTACGTTTTTATTGAAGTTCTTTTTGGAGATCCAGGCTCATCACCACTCAAAGACGATGCTGACAACTGTCATTAAAAAAACTCTTCTGCAAATACTTTTTACTTAAAGTTTAAGCAAACGATCAAAGATTTATTTAAGTATGGTGAAATAAAAACACTAACAGTAAAATTCAGAAGAGTTCAAAAGTAAAGTGTATATAAAATGTAAGTTTGTGCATTTCCCTGCAGGGCACCTCCACCCACGCCTCCTCCACCCACTTGGCAGCTCTAGAAGATCTGGACGAACCAATCAGGACTCACCATGGTCACCCTGCATCGACCAGAAGCAAGCCCAGCAGTGTCCACAGCAAGGCCAGTTACCATGGCAGCCTGCGCCGCAATCGAGATGACAGGTAGCTGAGAAACCCCTCGCTGTGGCCTCACTCCTCCATCCGTTCTGTCCTCAGCCCTGTACGTCTCCACCTCTCTCAGGAGCGATTCTCTAGCTTACCGGGGCACACCGGACCGCAATCTCCATGGCAGCATGCCCCGGCTCGACCACCCGCTCTCCACCCACAGCAGCCTGCATAAGATAGACGGCCACTCCAGGCACAGCAGCCAGCGGGATGCATCGGAGGTTTCGCCTACCCTCATTACCCACGGAGCCACAGGGAGTGATGGCCGGCCTGCTGAGGACGGCACCAGCGCCTGAGGAGTTCATCGCTTTCTGCAGCAAAAAGCAGAATCTACCAGAACGCTGTGGTGGTTTGTGATCCAGTCTGGTCCTTTGTGTTACAGATTCAGGATTTATTCAGGGAAAACTGTGGAGAGCTGCAACTTGCACTGGACAGACCAGGAACTGGCAAAATAAGGTTGTTGCACTTAATATTACAGTCAAAACCTAATTCCATAGGACCTTCACAAATATTATGAAACTTGTAAAAACAACTGCAGAGTTTTGTTTTTATATCAAACTCTTCTTCGTCTGTCACAAAAGTGGCTCGTTTATTTTGGCCTGCAGCTGTTGATGCTCATCTGTGTGTGGAGTCTTAGACAAAAATGGGCCTAACATGGACCTTTTAATTGTTTAGTAAATATTTTTATACTGTGAAAACTGTCTACTGCGTGTGTAGAGAGAAACGCATATCAGGGGTGATCAAGTTTAAAACTTTTTGATGTCGAGACATTTAAACTAATGCTCAGTCTGTGCAGTGCAACTAATGAAATCTATCTAAACCTGGGATGCTGAAGTCCAGCCCATCTCAGACACTCCTGAACAAAATGACTGAATGTTGAGGTAATTCAGGTGTGTTGGAGTAGGGATGCATCAAGGACTGCACTGGGGAAGCATCTTAACCTTTAACCTAGAATTCATTCCATTAACAGCTGCAGATTAAAACCCAGTGGGATTTGTTTATGCAAGGCACCATTTTGACGCCTTGGTTGGTAAGAATCTAACAGGCAGCTCATAAATGTTGAGTAGATATGAAAGGCATAAACAGCATCCATAAACTAATAATGCACTGCCAGAGAGATGAAGAAAACCTAAAGCCACTGTAGAAAATCTGCCATAAATTCAGCAAACCTCTGTATGTTAGTGGATGTTAAGAATTGAGGATTCTGGGAAGTTAACACTTCAGTCATCAAGCCCAATGGAGCATTAACTGTATAAACATATCTGTAATTTAAAGTATTCCAGTATCAACTGCAGCATTTAAAAGTCAGACTTGTGTTTCTCTAAAGATTGACAGATTTGAGACTTCATTTTTTACAAGTGTTGTAAGATCCACCCCTGTTCATGCAGTTTGTCTTCAGACCTGCCTCGACAGGTGCAGCCAACTAGCAGAAGAACATTCATTACACTTTATTGGCGCCGACTTTTGTCTGCCTGTAAATGTAACAACCTGTAAATATTGTTTTCTTGCAGTTTGAGTCCTAATCCTTTGTCGTTGAACTAACCTACCTCACCTTTACCCTCAGCCTTCTCCTGTTCTGCATTCACGTCACTGGGTGCTTTCTCCAAAGTAAAGAAGTGCTCAGCATACATCAGTCAAAATGGTGGTGCCAGCTCGCTTTGTGGTTTTTAAGTCTACCTCTTGAGTTCAAACCCCAACATACTTCTGACCGGCTTTGTGTGCTCAATTCCTAGCAAATTAAAAACATTTTAGCCTTTCAAACAGGAAAACACAGTTTTCATCAAGATTGTGCAAATTCTGACCTTGCAGTTATGCAATAACCACATCAGGCCCAGTCTGTGCTTCTATGCCCTCATTACCTTGTACATAGATTTTCTGTATGATGACTGATCTGCCTTTGTTTTTGTCCTATATCCCATTTTTGGACCTACAGCAATCGTCTGTATTTACCATGGCTGCTTACATGCATTAACCAGAGTGCTTTTCTCTCAACATGGCTGGAGAAAAAAAGAAAAACAAGCTCTCAGCTTTTAAACATTCATGTTCTCACAAGTCTGTCTTCATAAACCTTTAACAGTAAAGCATGGGGGGGAAAAAAGAGCTCCAACTAGGATTTTTAAAACTTGACTTAATTTATTTGCAGTTGCAATGTAAAAGCTTATTTTACATGCAGTCTAATAAACTTTTTTTAAGACTTGAGTTTTTCTCTGTGATTTCCTTTTCTGTTGTGTCGGGATGCAAAGAATAGCTGGAGGTACTTACAGTTTCTAAAATCAACAAATGCCGAGTTAAGACCAGATGCCCGAGCGTTCTCTTTTGCGGCGGACAATGGCCGCTACGTCTTGTTTGAGTGTGGAGACGCCGTCCTCCAGCTGCTCAGAGAAGTCCCTCAGCAGACGACTCTGCTCATCCACAAACAGTCTGAGTCCCAGCAGGTCCGACTCCTCCTGGAGAGGAAATGCAGCAACAATTTAGAGTTAGAAAACCAACATGGCTCACTAAGGCTGCATAGAAACAAAGATGCTTACACTGGGTCTATGTCTGCGTAAGCGCTGCAGCTGACCCCTAACAGAGGTCATGCTGTGGTAGAAAACTTTCAGGGCGCGTGCGAACTCTGCATCACAGCTGGGACGTAGCGACCGACCACGAGCGCCGTCTCCGCCTAGAGCCAGAGGAAGGAAACATGGACTGAGTAACAATGCAGGTACGAAGCAACAAAGTGGGATAATTGTGTGTCTGTTACCGTTCTTGACTGCGTTGAGCTGTTCTCTCAGACTGTGGTTTTCTTTCCTTAATGATTCATTCAGACTCTTCAGTTCCTCCACGTCCTGTTGAAGAGCTCTGACTGAACAGCTGAGCTCAGCAGAGTCCGACAGCTGCAGCCAATGAAACATTAGCCAATAGTCTGATCCACAAATCAGATTAAACTTTGAAATAAAGAACAACATATCTAGCTCTTTGTGAACATGCAACTATCCCCCTTAAATTTTGAATTAATTCAATTTTATGAGCAAGCCAAGTCTGACTTCCTACCAAACCTTAAAAAACCCTATAGGTCAACATGAAATGGGCTTAATGATCTTAAAAGCAACTCATCATGCTCTGATCTAAAGAAATTCAAGAACAGATCAGGAAAAGTCATTGATATCAGTCTGGAGAGGTTTACAAGCCATTTCTAAAGCTTTGACTTCAGATAACCACAGCGGCTATCTGAAGTCAAAGCCTTCAGATTTCCATTTATTATCCATAAATGGGAAAAAAATATGGCATAATGGTGAACACAGTCTAGGCAGCGGCTGACCTAATCAAGAACCCAAAACAACACCTAAAGCACTACAGGCGTCACTTTATGGTCATGATGTTCATGACTGAATGGGGGAAAAACTGGACATTAAGGACCAAACCACAGAGTTACATCTTATATTCCCAGTGTCTTGTGGGAAAGCATTCAATTAACTTTTTGGAAGATGAGAGACATGTTGCATCTGCAGTAAAAACAAAAAGATCATCCTACTGACAGTCAAACATGGACTATTTGTTTTTATCTAACCATAAATTCTGATCTCCATTAGAAAACCCAAAAGGAGAAAGTCACTGTCGGCTTATAATATTAAACACGTGAACAAATCAGCAAGTCCACGAAATGTCTGGACTTTAATCTGATTTTGGAGTTGTCAGTAAAAAACATTTATATTCAACTTACTGCAGCTTGTGATGGATGCAGTAAGTCGATGATAAAGGCGCCCTCTGCAGTCATTCTCACAGCTCCAAGAGATGAACTCAAAACACTGCAACCCTCTAAGACAGAAAAACACACAGTAGTAGTAGTTATCTCTTAGTAGGATAGCTGCTTACCTAATTTATTTTATAAAACTTATTTTAAATATCATTTAGGAATCGCATTCTAGAGCTAAAGCTGCTTATAATGAGGGAGCAAAAGTGCAGCATGGGATTCTTTAAGTCAGTTTAGTACCTCAGAAATGCTAAACGAGTTCAGAAATATTCACGAGAGAGCAGCACAAAGTGAAGAAAGAACAGAACAGGAATGTGGGATCAAATTCAGAGCCGTGCAACAACATAAATATCAGTTTAGGACTAAGATGCCTTTCAGCTAGCAGTGGACAGGACTTGATATGGGGACAACTTCATCCTATGACTGTTTATTATGGAGTGACCATAATTTCTAGATCTGATTGTTGGTGGGAAAAACCCGACTATGTTGCATAAAAGAAAACTCCATCCAGTGGGAGATGCTACAGGAAGCCTAGTCAGAAATCTCATCAATTACCTTCAAAATGCTATAGGAAGTTATGGTTTACCGAAAGGTCTTTTCTTTCATAACTCTGACAACACCTGCCTGCATGTTCTGCTAATTTACTGGTGAAGATAATCTCATGCTGAAATTGTGCGGTGATGGTCATTTCTGTTTCCTTCCTCACCCTGAAGACCCCAGAGCTCCAACACCACAGCACTGCTCTGCAGGTAGTCCAGCAGCCGTTGGGATGTTTGGAGGGAGGTGAACTGGACCCGGTGATCCAACAGAGGATTGATGTTGTGCCACACAGCTGGAGTGTAAAGCGGCTCGCTGCAATCAAATACCCTGAAACTAACAGAGCAGAGGAAATAAAGTTATGTCAGGGAACATCTAGTTTTAAAGTTATTCTTCATTCTGTTATCAAACTGCTCTTAAATGTTGCACACGTCTGTCCGGGTCTCACCCGATTTGTATCCCTCGATTGCGGGCTTCCCTAATCCAACGAACCCCACAGCACTGATCCAGGACCAGCTGAAAGTCCAATCGTCGACCCAGCACTTCAGACGGGTCAATCAGGATGTCGTCCTCCCCCAGTGGACTGGAAAGTTGCATTACTTAAAAACACACCTTTCTGTGAGCTTACAACTAAAAAATGTGTGTATGTGTGTCATACAGTCCAGTGGAAGTGCAGGGGACGAGCTGAGCTTGTAGGATGGCCTCCTCTGTCCCCTCTGAGCCCAACACCTGCAAACAGAGACAGATTCATCTGGCATCTGATAACACTGATGTATGAAGCATATGGAGTACCTCCAGCTGCTCCTCCAGAGGGATGCGGAAGGCCAAAGACTGCAGCCAGAGGTGAGCGGTTCCCAGGAGCAGAGGCTCGACTGGATCCCAGAAAGGGTCTTTATCTCTCGGTAGCACTACAGCTAGGAGGCCCTCCACTCTCTGATAGCGGCACATACAAAAAAGACCAATAGCAAAAGCTGAGTTATAGCTCTAAAATTTAAAGTAAACTTTAATTCAAAGGGGATCTATTATGCGAAATTCAAAATTGTCAAATTGGCCATTTGAGTCTCACTCAACTGCTTCTAAAAACAGCACAAGCGCTTAAAATAAAACATCCAGCCGTTTAATGGTTTTCAGTGCCTGGAAAATGAGCCGTTACCTAACCGCCCCAGCCGAGCCCAGCCCGTCACCTAGCAACACAAGCCCAGCCCGTCACCTAGCAACACAAGCCCAGCCCGTCACCTAGCAAACTAAGCGCAGCGCCAGTGTTTGGTCAATTAGTTTTGGCATGCTCTGTACAATGGCTGTGTTTTGTTGTTGACTTAACATACAGAAACCATTTCAGACATTCCTATTGGTTGTTTGGGTGGCTCTAGTTGCCTTTGAAAGATGTACGGTTGTATATTTGTGAATCTATTTGTCACCATTTTCACGTGCGAGCGTAAACGTTGAGTTGGGGGCGTGGCCAACAGCAACTTATTTGGATTTAAAGTGACAAGAGGCCCAAAAACAGCTCAATCTGAGGAACTGAAAAGAGGCAGAACGGAGCAGACTAACATCTCATTATCTAATGATGATTTTGTGCAAAAATGTAATTAACATTTTTATCCTGACCTGTTCAGGAAAACATAATAGGTCACCTTTATGCACTTATTGGAAATGAAAGACATCTACAAAGTCTTTCCCCTCATTTCTCATGTTGGACATTTTTTGTCTATGCTCAGTTGCCTCAAGAAATATTTGCATATCCTGAAAAACACATCAGAGTTATTTCCATGACACACATTGTCCTCGTGTTGTGCAGCCTTGAACTGCTGATAGACCTCCTCCATCAAAAACTTGCGGTTGACAAACTTGGCTTTGGACCACATCCAGACCTGCAAAAACATGCGTCACAACTAAAATAATTCGGAAACATCTTTCTGGTACAAGGAACGGAGAGAGACAACTTGAGCAACACCAGCCTGTTTGCTTCCTGCAGCGGTCACTCTGACAACAATGTCCTTCTGTAGATCGTGACCTCGAGAATCCGACAGGGCCAGATTTTTGATTTCCAGCTTAAATTCAACTCCCTGAAAGTGAAGAAATTAAATGCAAATTTATCAACTCGCTCCTGTGTGTGGGTTAATGTGAGCAGCTACATTAACCCACTGTGAGTTACCTTGCTCAGTTCCTGACTCATCTGGTTGGCCTCGGCCACCATGGGCATCAGCTGAATGTAGTCGTAGAAGACCGCCAACAGACTGGGATCTGTCTGGCTACAGCCAGTGTTGGACTCACCTATACAGTAATAAAAATGGCTTTTTTTTCTCCATATAAATAAAACAAATTCAGTTCCAGAGAGCGATGGTTTCACCCACTCAGGTGGATGCCCTCAGCAGCAGCCAGCTCTGACTGGAAGTAATCATAGTCGTAGCGACTCCAGTCTTCCCCGCCCCTCTCAGATGGGTAACCAACGAACAGGTAGGTACAATTCGAGCCCAGAATGAGACGATCCTGACAAATATTTAGAATAAAGTTGGCTTTGACTGCTTTAGTTTCATCTAACAGTTAATTCATATAGTTGGTGCAATGCAAATACCCACCAGGTGTTGCAGCTCTGCTGTCTCATACACGGCGTTCCCATTAACAATAACCTTTGACCCCGTCAGTGGAGTCAGTGTTACCCGCCGCTGTTCATTCCTGAACACCGCATGATGCTCCTGGATCCTAGTTCACAAGCAGACATTACTGTGCGTGCACAAGAACAAATATGTTCTGATGCATTTTTAACATAATTTATCAATCTCTGGTTGAGTTGGTGGGTTTCTCTGGTTTTTCTGGATGTTGAAAAGGAAAGGAAAACTCACCCCAAGCCCTTGATAGAAATGGATCTAGGGGCGGAGTCACAGAGTCCGATGCCCCACTCACCTGGAACAACAAAACATTTGTTCTCTGGTTTTGCAGTTTTCTGGACACCTCAGACAACCTTGTACCATCATGGTATTAACAAAGCTGTGGACTTAACTAATTTAAATGCTCATAATATTCACCCTCTGGTTCTCATAAAAGTCCCATTAACATCTATAGTGAAGAAATTTATTAGATACTTTCATAAAAACACTTAAGTGTCATGACTGACTCTGCTGACTTGAGAAAACCACATTAAACCAGTCTGTAAAGAAAACAAAATATATTCTCTTCAATGTCTGAAGTTCTTCAGAACAAATTGCAGCTGTCCTGTAAGGGATTGTGTGGTTTTGTTCCTAAATAAAATGTCAGAGCTGGTTTAGAACAGATTATATCTTAGAGGCGGACCAACCCTCCTGAATGAAAAGCTTCACCACGCCTGACAGCTGAGCATCCTCGTTGATGTTCAGGATGTAAGGATACATCTGCATCATCCTCCTCTCCTGACAATAAATTAAAGAAATATGAACATTAACAACCAGAAAAAGGATGAAAATATTTCACCTGAAACATATTTTCCACTTCTTAACCCACTTTAATTCACATTCTCTGTATGCATTTATTTTTAAACTCCTTAGAAGCAGGAAAGAAATCCCAGATTGTGTGTGTACCTGTGTGATGTTGGCGTACTGCTGCTCCCAGTCTTTGAGCGCCTCCTGCAGGTGTTGTTCCCACAGAGTCTGAATGGCTCTGATCTGGAGCTCATTCTGGGTCAACAGCTGACGAAGTTCCTCTGGAAACAGATACGATTACCCGCTCTGATCTCTGCCAGCCGAACGGTCATCTGGTTTGTCCAAACATCGAGTCTTACTGGACTCATCCGTGGCTCTGCGCCCCTCCTGGTCCATCCGGCTCAGTTTCTGCAGCAGTCTGGCGTTTTCAGCCTTCAACTCTTTAACAAGGCGTTCAGTGGGGCTCTCGTTCACCACTGCCCTGTTTTGGATTCGTTTTGCCCTGAATTTTGAATGTAAAATGTGTTAGTATGATGGAAACCAGTAATACTCACCTTGTTTGCCAGAGCGTAAATAATTAATGTACCTTTCAGCGTAGCGCAGGGTGGAGAGAGACTCCTCATAGCAGATATCTGCAGGACTCAGAGTGGCAATCTTGAAAATAAGTATGACAAATCAGTATACTACAATGTTTTGCATACCACTGCATTTTTCCCCCAGTTTGTTACTATACAGCCACACATTTCAGTGCATTTTATTGAGAATTTCTGTGACTGACCAACACAAGGCAGACATAGTTGAATAAAAAGAAAATAAAACCTTGTTTTCAACATTTTTCACAAAAATAGTCTCACTCAGGCTTTGCACAACCAGATACTGAAATTTTCTCCTCATTCTTATTCACAAATAAAGCTCAAGAGATGTCAGATTGGATAGAGAGCATCTGGAAGTCAATCCGAAAAGTCCTGCCACAGATTCTTAACTGGACTGCAAAAACACTAAACCTCACCAAGTGTTTTTGGTCTAGTTTCTAGTGAAAATATCTTAATGTGCTTGAAATAAGATAAATGAAATCAGAAGCAACTTTTAGGCAAGATATAGGAGCTTTTTTAAGTAAATAATTCCTTAATATGGATGAAAAAGTACTAGTTCCTAACAAGGCTAGTACTTTTTCATCCATATTAAGGAATTACTGACTTACAATAAGCTCCTATATCTTGCTGAAAAGTTCCTTGAGAGTTAGTTTGGTCTTAATTCGAGTGTACTAAGATGTCTCCACTGGAAACTAGACCAAAAACACTTGGTGACATTTGGTGTTTTGGCAGAGTGGACTTAGTTCTGCAGTGACTGGGTTGCTGTAACATAAACATGCTGGGGCTGTGTGTTTAGGAACGTTGCTTTGCTGGAAAGTCAACCTTTGAGCCGTCGCAAGTGTTTCACAACCTCCAACATTCTTTGAGAAATGCCTTGTATGTAGCTCCTACTGTGCTCACAGAACTGGGTATTGTTTTATAACCAAACCCTTATTTAAACTCCTTTATAACTTGTCCCTCACCTGTCTGCTGTGTCCATTGGTCGTCATAATCCCGTCTGATAACCAATATTCTCTAAAGAATCTTAGACCTTCACAGAACAGAATTCATAAAAGGGAGTGAAATTTGACTATTTTTCATATTTATGTACTTTTGCATTTGAAAACGATCCACCACTTTATGTTGGTCCATCACAAGCAAGTTAGCATTTGTAAAACAATTAAAAAATATAACATATTTTTATAAAATCATCTGCCAGCTCTCCTGTGCGTTTTACCATGACTGTGCGACTGTTTCCGCCCAGCGCCGACTGCAGCAGCTTGGTGAGAACCGAGTCTCTGTAGGGAATATGAACCACCTTCTTCCCCACTGCAACATCTGCCAGGGCGCTGGAGGGAGAACAAGAACGGATATGGAGAAAACTGATGGATCCAGCAACATGCAAGAACAAGGCAAACCAAACAAAACGGAGCAACCTGATGACATTTCCCAGCGTGGTGAGGCTCAGGTTTATGGCCGTTCCCTCTTTGAGTCTGTCGGCTTCAGACCCGGAGGACCTCTGGCGCTCACTGCCAGCCAGGTCCACCAGGTTGATGTTGGACTGCTTGGTGATGCTCTCCTTTGAGAAGATCTGGTCAAGACGTTTGGTTCAGAAAACTTGAGTTAGAGAAGCACACAGAAATAAATATATAGGAGCCATTTATAAATAGAAGAAACTTAATACAAAATGCAGTTTTTGTTAACGCGAGTTTCATTTGTTGCATTGCTGCTTGAAAGGATGAGCATCTGTAATTTTAACTTGTTTAAGCTTATTACATGGTGCATTTTGATTGGCTGTTGACTGATTAGATAAGCACTTTGAGAGTCTTTTGACCGTCGTTTTCTATTTGTTTTGAATTTGCTATTTTTGTTTCATTTTATTAAGTCCAGCAAAGACGCAAACATTACTGCTGGACTTTCTTTTTTGAAGAAATGTGTCGCGCATGACGGAGTTTTAAGGGTTAAGACAGGTGAGAGCCGGCCGCACTTAAAAAATAATTTTAAAAAGGGCTTCTTGTTGGAGTCGTCATGAGAAAGATCACAATGAAAATTAATTTTAAAGCAAAATCGAAGAGGAAATTTAAAGTTTAAACATCAAACCCAAGCAGAAAATGAAAATAAATAAAGCAAATAATCAAGAAATATGCCCAAAACAAGCTGAGCAGCAGACAGGAGCACTGAAATCCAGAGTGGATTAGAAATATTGAGATTATAATAACTCAAAGACCAGCTGGGAAAACAAAAACCTCTCAGAATATTTAGAAAATGTAAATAAAAAAAATAAAAAAAACGTAAATCAAAATATTGAAGAAAAAAAAAAACCTGGTGCAGAACAATAAAAATACAGAACTGAACAAATACAGTAAAACACAACCTGCTTAGGTAACACAATGACCATGTATATGAAAAAATCTAACTATAACTACCACGGATACCAATTGATAAAAATAGAAAGCTTGATTATTAATGGTCTGAAATAGTTTAACAAAATAAATAACATATAACTGACATAAAAATAAAACTGTATTCCTCAAGCATTTTATTGTCAGCTGTGCAGTAGAAATAGCATCAAACTCATGTAGCTGGATCTCTATCAGACTAAATAGGATTATTTTGTAATAAACTGGGTTGAATTCAGTAAAACTGGACAAAATTTAATCACTTGAGTCTTTAGATAATTTATTGCGATCTGAATTTGATCCAAACAAACCGACTTGAATGTTAAACAGTTCGGAGCGTTTCCTCTGAAAATGTTTCTCTCAGCATGAATGAATAAACTGCAGGCATAAAGCGTGGAGCCGTTTCACCTGTTTGAGCTGCAGGATGATGAGCATGTGTGAGCGGCTGCTGTTGGCGTTCATTTGAGTGGCAGCGGTGGTTCGAGTCCTGGTCCCCTGCTCCATCAGCTGCTCCACCTGCATTTAAAGCGAACCCAAACTCATCAACGTCAACTGGCTGGTTATACTGATGACAAAACAACTTAAATTAATTTACAGCTAAAACCAACTTTCAGTTTCATTTTTAACCAAAAATACTGAACAGAACAGAGACAGAAACTTCAGAAAACTGTTTCAGATTAATATTTTAATTCAAATCTGTTTAAGTCTGTCTGATTACTCAATGTAATAGTTGCAAATAAAACACAATTGTGTTATTTTCTATATAATAAATGCTGGTTGGCTCAGGAACTTTTTTGATGTACAGATAATGTTTGTGTACTACTCTCAAATTATTAAGGGAAAACCAATTTAAAATTGTTCTAAAAATAACCCATATTAATTTTTGTGGGGGTTTTTTCAGTTTTAGTCTTTTATTCATCAGTCCTGATCAAAATATTGAACAATTATCAAGATTTCAACCCTCTACAGTACTTTAATTTATTTTTCCCCCCCAATATAATTCCATTATATCTTTGAATGCTTTTCTTACTTTCAATTTTATCCTGTTTACTGATAAACTTCTAGTTTTTCACAATTCACAGTTAAATCCCAGTCTACTTCATTTTTGTGTTTAGTTTATTGGCAGCTTCTGGAGACAGAAACTGTTTTCTGGAAACTAAGAAACTTCTCAGAACTTCACTGTTTTCTATGGAAGCCCATAGAAAACTGCTGTAAAAAAATAAAATAAATTATCTCATTATTTAGAGATACTATCTCATTATAATGAGATCATTTAAAAAAATAAAATAAACAGTGGTGGAAATTTGCTTCCACAGTTTTCATTGTTGTTGCATGTGTGAAGAAACAAAACTAGTTACACTTTGGTAAACAACTAAACATCTTTTTACCTGCAGAGCGTTCTCACAGGGGATTTTACGAAGACCCTCAACATAAAAGCCTCTCTGCAGCTCCTCTCTCACTCTAAGTCCACCTGCAGTCCGTGACCCCCGAGACAAAAGGTCAACCACCTGGAAACAAAGAAGATCATGAGAAACATAACAAGGGCTAAATGACGCAAAATAAAAAAAACAGTAACTTCTCTGAAAAAAGGCTCACATTTACCTGCTCATTATAGATTTCCAACATACTGAAAAAGACCTGAGGACACATCAACAAGCATTCAGGATGAAAGCCTGTTCTCTGTCTTTCATTTAATTAAGATAAAGACGAAGAAGTGAAAGTAAACTAACCTTCATGAAGATGAGTATAGTAATTATTACCTGACATTGTCTGTTTTCTTGGTTTTCTCTGATCGCCTCAAACAGCCGGTCACACAGTTTAGGAACCAGGCCTTTATTGGGTCCGTAGCCCACCATCGAGTAACTCTTCCCTGACCCGGTCTGTCCGTATGCCAGCAGCGTGGCGTTGTAACCCTGCACATGTGACTTCAGGGTTTATCATGAAGTCACTTTGTAAACAGCTAACGGAGAGGCGGAGCGGTTCCTACCTGCAGCGCGTTCTCCAGTATTCCCACTCCGAGGTCCTGGAACACGCTGTGCTGGGGGAGGAAACAGCAGCTTTTTACCAAGCATTATAATTTTATCTTTTCACTCCGTCTGGTAAATGCTGTCTGTCTCCTTCGCGCCCACCTGGTCAGCGTATCGGCCCCCCGGCTCTTCAGGAACAAAGAGACCAGTCTGGTCTCTCGTGAAGCCGCTGTGGGACCAGTACGCATAATCGAAGCAGAAGGACCGCCGGTTGTGGCAGTCGCGTGGATCCTGGATACTAATGGAGGTCGACACCAGAGAGATGATGCAACGACTACCTGCATCCCTCTCTCTCTGTTTGGAGGAAAGAGAAAACGAGGCCCAGGGTGACCCTGGATGAGCTGCAGCCCATGTAGAGGAACCAGTTCACTGAACAACTCCAGTATACTCAACCAGTGTAGTGCTGCAGAAGAAAGCCACTGGAGAAAGAAAGTCTTGTCTGCAGTTTTCCACAAGGCATTTAAAAAACAGAGCAACCATGTTGAGTTGGTGCTCTGGTCAGATGAGACCAACACTGAACGTTTTGGGCAACATGCAAAATGCTTTTAAATTATTTTAAAGAGTTTGTTTTGCATTTAAATTATAATAACTTGTTGAAACTTTATGAAATGTTTTAAATTGTTCACAAAAAAGTTATTAACTTATGTCCCTTTATGACAATGCTGCCAAAAGGAATCTAACCCTAAAACCCCCCATAATTTTTCATTTAAACATCTGAAGAAGAAAAAAACAATTTTTTTTTTTCCAAACTGGTGTAATAAAAGTTTATGGTTCAGAAATACTAAATCTTGATTTTATCCAGTCAGTTTTGTAAATAAGTAGATAACTGCTTTCCATCTTATCCAAAAGTTAGACCTGAATGTCACAGATAAAACAATGAAGAGGAACACTGGACCTCCACAACATATCAGATAAACAGGGTAACCGACATGGATCCCTGTGGAACTCCAAAACTGGGAACTGAAGCAGAAGAAGAGGATTAAAATCCTTAGTGAGGAGAAAATCATGATCCAGTTAGGTTACATTTTACACCAAAACCACAGAATCACCTTTAACACCAACATGTTCCAAACATGGCATCATTTTACAGGCCACAGTATTAAGCTGTGGATAAGCAACAGATGAGTTAAGAACATCACATCAGAATATAAATTAGTTCCCGAAATGGGGAATTTAAAATACTATGCGGATTCACAGGTTGTTAGCCTAACAACTCTTATTTGTTTGATAGGTGACGCACTAATGGCCTCAATGACTGACGAACAATAAGAATATATATCCAGAAATGGCCATAACCATGTTTAAAATGCCAAAACGAGAATCTTATGCATAAAGAAGAACATTAGAGTCAGGAAAACAATAAATAAAATTAAACGTCAGCAACTATCTCGACAGTCCGTAAAGAACAACGCGGGAAACGAGGCCCTGCTTTTTTCTCTCCCTTTTTAAAAAGCTGAGCAGAAACAAAGAATAAAACATTTAGCTTTAAAAATTATTCCTACGTTTTGTTGAGCTTACTTTCTTTCTGCTCGGGTCATTTCACACCTGTCCTCATTATGTCATTTCATGCTCCCCTACTTCCAGCTAATTTGCTTTAATTAAAACAAATACCTTCATATAGGAGCCATTGATCGGCACCGAGTTCCCTCTGTACTTAAGAAACCCGCAGTGAATATAAAATTAAGCAGAAACTGACCTTGTTGAACGGCCGCACTCTGACAGCCACTTTGACACAGTCCTTACTGTGCATGTCCGAGGCTTTGGCCCTCATGGCGCAGCTGGAACCGGAGACACCGGGCAGAGATCGGTGCGACACACAGGTCGGGTTACGCAGAAACACCGAGGGCTGGATGATGATGGAAACCAGGAGAGATGCCGCAGTCCATGTGGAGCCGAGGTGGTTTAGGCTGAAACATGAATACTGGATGTTTAATGAAAAGAAGCCGTTTTATTTTTCATATTTTACTGATATTACTGTCGCTTCTTCTTTGTGATGCTGGCTCTGGTTTCACTTTCGCCTCATCCATCTCCATAAATTATAAACGAGGCGCAGAGCGCTGGCGTTTACACTAACCACTTTCCTCCATCTCAGACCTCGGAGGCCACAGAACTGAGACCGAAGGAGATGTTTTAAAGTTTTACTGCTTTCTAAAAGAGTAATCAATATAAAGACGATATTCTTCAACAAAAATATCAACTATGACAGTTTTGGTGCAAGGAGGGTAAACGTGACGCAGAGGGGCGCCGCACTAGAGGGGGCGCCAAATGTTGACTTATTTCTTAGCATTTTCTGTATTTTAACAGCTGTTTGTGTATGTGTAAATAACATGATCAATATTTATTTACTTACAGAAATTTAATTTCTGAAAACAAGATAAAAATAAAACATTTCTATGTCCAAAAATATGACCAGCTGATCATGTTTAGTTTTTTTTTTTTAATCTTCACCCATGCACTGGATCTGCTGGATACAATTACACAAGCATTCAGAACAGAAAGGAGAAAATGAGACATCAGAGGAACAGAGGTTTTTAGGTTAACCATATTTATCAAATAGCAGTCAACAAAAATAAGACATTCTACATACATTCAATCAGAAAATAGTCTGAATCAGATGCTTGTTGCCATAAATTGCATGTAACAAACCTATTGTCTCCCGAGCTACTTTTACATCTGCAAATTGTTGTGCATTTTTCTCCTTTACATCTCTCCCATATCTGCCGACAGCAGCAGTTTTACACACAAAATCCTCTTAGATTTTAAGACTTTGGCAAAGGCAATCTGATATGATCATCAAATGCATTCAAGACACTTCAAATTCAAAATAAACTTAATTCCTTAGGATTTAATTATTAACTTTATTTGGAACATAACAAATGACTATATACAAATCTAGCAGTAGCAATAGATCCCTGCTAGCCGGTTGCCTTTTTCCTCTTGAATAGAAAAACAGCAGGTCTTGAACTTTTAAAACGGCAACAAGAAAGCCTTAAAATAATAGAAAGGGAGTAAAACCTCTTCATGAGATCTGTTGTTCATCATTAGGAACCTCTAAAAATCCACATTGATTGCTTTTCTTTGTGCCTTTCAGTGTCCAGAGCTCAAGCTTTAGAACATAAAATGGTCACTTATCAAGTGAAATCAAGTTTGCATGAGAAGGAAATGTAAACTCCAAAAATAAAATCCTCCTTCACACTGAATTTACCGTTTCTGTCCCAAAAATAAACCTTCCCACGTCCACCGTTTCCATTTTCCTCTTTGTAGAAGAAAGTTTTTCAGAAAAACTGCAGCACTATGAGGCATTTCAAGAAGCAGAACCATCATAAGTTCAGGCCGTTCCTTTTTATTTGACAGCTCTCGACTTGATTTGGTTCAAATCTTCACACAGCCGCCTGAGGTTCACTGGTTACTACCACCTCCTGCCTCCTCAAAGTTTCCTCCTCCTGGTGACGGGCTTTGAGAAAACGATGTCTATGACGCGTTTGCGCCGCAGGTTCCTGGTGGTCGGAACCGGCGCTTCGTCTGTGATCCTCCTGAGCGCTCGCGGCAGCGGCTCAGCCGGGCTGGGCAGCGGCGAGATCAGATCCACCTCGGCGATGGGAACAGACTCCGGAACAGCTGCGGACCTGAGGAGGAAGAGACACAAACAATGGGCATGTTTTTATTAGCTCTTAGAACAGTCAAACATTTAAATCTACTAAAAATGTGGCTTTGAGAGCAGGTCTTACTTTGCTGTTTTCCTGCTTGTTTTTCTGGTTTTAGATGTTTTCTCCTCTTCAGCGCGATCAGCTTCTGAGGAAACTTTATCCTAAAAGGAAAACAGGAGTTGACTCTTTATCCATCAAGGTAAAAAAAATGAAAAAGTATTTAGACCACTTTGACCTGTCTTTTAAATCATAGACTCATATATATTTTATGACAGACCAAAACAAAAGGAGCACTTCAGTGTGAGGTGGAAGGAAAATGATGCATGTTTTCCTGGTGTTTAGTTCCCTTTTCTCCAATATCAATAAATAAAACCCAGATCACATCCGTTTTAAGTTGCATCTTAAAATAAACGCAGCTGTTCTGTGAATCTCCTCTGATTCGTTAGGGAAGATTCATAAACCAAACACTTTGAAAAACCTGTTTCCCCCCATCACCTGTGGTGGCACTAAAATAAAAGACAAAAGCAAAAAGAAGAGGCGACTTCGTTCTTCACAAAATGCACAAAATAAATAAAACAAACAAAGGAGTGGCATCAAATTTTAGCAGCTGCAGAATGTCTCGTTTGCATTTGGCCAAAGACTTGGAGGCATTTCTCCATGCTTGTTTGCATTTACCCAGAATGCCCTGATCTATCGTCCGTTTTCTGCTTTTGGAGCTCGACATTCACATATGCATTTGAACCGAAGTAGAGTTCACTTCAACTGGACTTAGGTTTGTAGCCGGACAAGAGTTTACGTCTTTGGTCCGCATCAGAGTCCGATTGCGTATTCACACCTCTCCAAAGGAACCAGACAAAACTAGAGTCAGTTAAGCGGATCAAACAGGGTTGGTGTTTATGCACACAAAGAGCACATATTTTGGGTTTTAGTTGCAAAAAATTTGCTTTATGAATTGAAAACCATGCATAATTTTTCCCATTTCGTCATTGTGGAATATGACTTCATTAATCTGAGATGTAAAGGGAGAAAATCCGTCCAGAACCCTAAATATGTTCAGCTGTTAAACTGGACCTCCTACCTGAACAGAAGCATCTTTGACTCTGCTCCTGCTGCGGGTGACCGGCGCCTCAGACTCCTCGCCTGGCGAAGAAGACTCCGCTGTACGAGCTGAAACACAGAAACGGTCAAGGCCTTCCTGGATGGGCGGAGGAACGTGAACCGGCTGGGATTTGGCTCACCTCTTGTTTGTCGCCGTCGGGAGGGCGAGTAGATGAACGAGTTTTCTCCTGGACTGGACTGGCCTGCTGCAGGTTCAGGCGCCGGGCCGTCTGGTTCCGGAGGAGATGAAACCTGATCCACTGAGGATTTGGTGTTCCTCCTCCTGGTTCTCTCAGTCTTTACACCTGTTTCCACAAATTTGACAAAGTTGAATTTTATTTCAACTTTCAAGCATATATTTTGGTTTTTAGAAGCAAAATAAATAAGTAGAAACCATGTCATTTTTCTTCCACTTTGCAAGTCAAAACTGCAGCTGAACCACCATCTTTAAAAACCAGTAAACCTCCGACTTCAGGGTTTGTGTTGCACCAAATTCTGCCTGAACAGATCATCATGAAGATGTCCTTTTTTATTTATTTGATTTTATTTACGTAATGCAGAAAAGTCTCATGAGGGGTAAAAAAACTACATAAAATATATGAGATTAAGTTAAATTTAAGACCAACTTACCTTTTTTATAATGAATTTAAGACGTCTTAGGCATGGACATCCTGCCGTGTCTTACACCAAAAACCATTTATAAACCGAAGCATTTAAAGAGGTTGTGGGTTAAAAACGTGTTCGTACCTCCCCGTTTCTCCTCTTCATCCTTGAGTCTCTTGATGAGGGCGTCTGCAACAGGAGTTTCAGAGTCCACCTCTAACGGAGAGTCCAGCAGGGGCAGATCCTCCTCTGGATGGTCCCAGAGTCTGCTTCTCATTGGGCGGCAATTGTTGGTGGGATCAGAGCTTTTGTTTGGATCAGACTCCAGGGGATCTTTACCTTCTCTCACTTTTCCTGAACCACTTTCTTCTCTCCTCCTCCTGTTGCTCTGAGGAAGGGACACAGGAACCAGTTTTACCTATAGAGTTTAAATGTGAGATGAATGAAACCGACCAATGAAAATGGAAACACAGTGGGTGATGGTTGAGCCCTTACTTGAGGATACACAGTTATAGTGATCTGGCTGGACTGTCGAGTTGTCCTCCGAGGATGGGAAAGTTGCCGTTTCTTCTCTTCCTCTTTCTGTTCTCCTTCGTCTTCTTCAAACACGACTGGCAGCATCTGTGGTCTAATTTTTTTGCCGCTGCATTTTAGAGAGACCGGCTCCTCTTTGACCGTCACCGGGGTCAGCTCTTCCTCGTTGGTATTGCTCGTCTTTCTGCCGGACCTCCTGGGGGTGCTGGCCTGAGTCATCCTGCGTTTGGAAGGAGTTGGAGTCTTGCTGCTGTTTCTGCGACCCCTTATCGTTTCCACAGCCTCGTCCTCTTGGCTGTCCTCTACGGTCGCAGATTCCTCCTCGCTGTCGGTTCTTGTTGCAGCAGCTCTCTGCGATCGTCTGCCTGGCGAAGCCCTCTTGGAGGTCGAAGCTGCGGAAATCTCATAATCCATGTTTTCAGGCTCCTCTTTAGGAATTACCGGCTGAGTTTTGCGAGTACTTCTGCGAGGTGTGACGATTTGGAGCGGCTTGCCTCTCCTTGGAGTACGACTTGGCAAGGCAGGAACGTCGTTGCTAGTTTTCGTCAGCTCTGGCTCACTCACTGCCTCTGGAGAGATTAAAGTCGCGTTTCGTCCTCTTGTCTTCCTCTGGGATGGAGTAGAAGGATCTTTCTTCCTCTGAGAGGCTGGCGTTTGTTTCGCAGTTTGACTTTCTGCGCCAACAATGTTCTCCAAAGGTTCTTCTGCAACGTTTTTATGCCTCAGTTGTCTCCTGGGTTGTTCCTCTGTTTCCTCCTCATGTCCAACTTCGGTGTCTGATGATGTTGTGCGCTCAGGCTTCTTGTCCTCAACAGCAGACTCGGTGTTTTCCACCTCTGTAGGAACAGACCCGTTCCCCTCAGGCAGCTGCAGCTCCTCAGCGGGGATTTGTTTTTCCTCCTCAACTGCTTCTGTTCTTTCAGCCGGGTCGGCATCGTTCACAGCAGCTGGAGGTTCTTCTGGAACCGATACAGAAGGAGCTTCCTGATCTTCAGATGATCTAATTTCTTCTACCTTTTCAGCTTTCATCTCTGCAGAGTCTCCGGTCTCCTGTTTCTCTGCAGTAGATTCAGTCTGTAGATCAATTTGTGAATCTCCAAGCTCTTCTTCCTCAAGTCCACGATAATCATTTTGACCCAGGTTTTCCATCGCCGCGCTCTCTCCTTCTGGTGAAGCTTCTTCCCCGTTACCCTCGTCCAAAGGAATGACGTCAGGTTCGTCACCCGGGTCTTCCCTCTCCATCTGCAGCGGCTCAGGGAGCTCCGACGCCTGTACATCATTCCCCACAGCCGCCTCCGCCTCCTTGACTCCGTCCTCTTCCGTGTCCAGCATCAGCGTGAAGCCGGTGTGAATCTCCGGCTGCTGCTCTTCGGCCACAGCGCCCGGCTGCAGCTCAGGAAGAGCGAGGTCGGCGCCGTCCACCAGGCCTTGCTGTCCCTCCATGAACTCGAAGGGAACCAGCAGAGTGGTGGAAGGTTTGAGCTCCGTGTATAACGACGATGACGACGACGCTGGCTCCGTGTTGGCGTCCAGCTCCATCCCGCCATCGTCTCCGCCGAGTCTCACCATCACAACCTCGCCTTCGATGTCGTCCTCTACGATCTGGAAACGGATAAAGCCTGTTCATTCCGATTGAAATCATCTAAATGTACGGTTGAATTTAACGTGATCTGGAAGTCGTTACCTTCATCTCTGCACCAGGTGCGATCAGGGAGAACTCGGCGGCTCGCTGCTCTGACAGATCCTGCAGGAAGTGGGCGTGTTCCTCCTGCATGAGGACCGAGCCGGGATGCAGCAGCGGCAGCCTCCCGTTACCCTGAACCTCATCAATGATCTCCACCTCACTGCCAGAGTCTTCCTCTTCCTCCTCCTCTTCTTCTTCTTCTTCTCCCTCTTCAGCTGGATTGGATGACTCCTCTTCACCTTCATCCTCAGATGCAGGACTGGACAGTTCTTCGCTGTCATTCAAGCTCACTACAGCTAGGAGAGCAACACATGAGTGAAATGATCAGGTGCACCAGAACAACTGTAAACGTGGGAGTGAATGTGATCTTCCTCACAGTGGGAGTCGGTGCCTGTCAGCTCTGAGGAAGTCACAGAAACCGTGGACTTCTGTGGCGTGAAAACCGACGGATCTACAGCGGCTGCATTCTCCTCCTCTTCCTCACTGCACGGCAGGACGGCAGCCATTTTAAAACAGGTCAGAAACATCCTTACCACATCTAAACATCAAACTTTCCAGTGTTTTGGAGACATATTTCTAAAATATAAAGATTTTTTCATGTGCATCAAAGGAGCACTGCAAAAACACAAAATATTACCAATTATTTTTGGTCTAGTTTCTAGTGCAAACATCTTGAAATAATGAAACTAACTTACAAGTAACTTTTCAGCAAGATTTAATTCCTTGATATGGGTGAAAAACTACTAGTTCCCCTGACAGATTATTTCACTTATTGCAAGACATTTTCTGCTTAACTATAAGTGAAACAATCAATATTAAGGAAGATTTGTGTTTTTGCAGTGCACTTAGAATTTCAGCTGATTGCAATGTGTTTATTTTCTAAAACCATAAATTTAAACTGAATGGATGTGAATAAATTCCTAGATCATTGAAAAGTTAATTTATTTTAGTAAATAAATCTACTGAAACGACCTTTACAGTCGTTACAAAGTTTCTCTAATTTATAAGTCTGTGACTTTCATGAAAAGCAAATATTCTGGGGGTTTTTCTGCAGAATTAGGACATTCTGCAGAAAACACACAATTTAAACATTATTTTATGGCTGCTGGCCTTGATGGTTGTCCAGCAGGAGGATGAGCTTCAAGCTGGACGTTGACATGAATTAACGTAAGTTTTAGGAGAAGAACACACCTGTGGAGGCTGGTCTGGCTCAGAGAGGCGTTGTGTATCGCTGAGCGGCTGAGCGGAGAAGACAGGTCATCACCAAACAGGTGCTTCTGTACAAACTCTGTCAGATCTGAAGGGAAGCAGCGATCAGTTCATTCCAGGTCATGAAGACGGTCAGCCACCTGCCCTCAGTGCGTTTCCATGTAAACATGCTCACCTGCGCTCTGCTCCAGCTCTAGTGCTGCTTCGGTTGTGGCGCTACCATCTTCGGGTTGCTCTGTGTTCGACTCGGCTGCCTCCCACTGAACGTTTAGCTCTTCACCTTTCACCTCAGACCTGACCTTAGAGTCTGAGCTCTCGCTCACCTGGTTACCGACTGCAGCATGAAAAATGGACCAGAATACTTGATGAAGAAGATCAGCAAAGCATCAAGTTATTTTTATTTTTCTAAAGTAAGATCAACTTAATCAAATGGATTTGGTTCAGACTAGGGATCGATTACTAAGTTAATCTAAGGTTGATTTATCTTATTCGACTAATTGATAAGCTGCAGTGTTATTTATTTTTGGAGCAAATAAATAAACTGCTGTAATAAAAAAAGCAATAATTTACCTTCATGTTGAGTAGATGGCTCATCTTCATCAGGACTTGCCACAACTTCCTCTTTGCTCACTGAGACAGTGTTCAGATCATCTTCTCCTTTAGATTCAGCTCCGTGCTCCTCGTCCTCCCTCAGAGCTTGACCCCTCCCGCTGACCTCCTCTCCTTCCCTCAGAGACTCCTCTGCCGCCATGTTTGAGGGGAGGTCAAGGTTTTCCTCTGAGGTCAGATCAGGTGTTTGTTCTGGTTCTTTGTCACTCTCAGACCTGATGTTCAGAGTCACCACATCATCATCCTCCTCTTCCTCCTCCCCAGGTTTGTGTCCCTGGGCTCTCTGTGGGTCTTCTGACAGCGGAGCATCGAAATACTCCAGCGTTGTGTCTGTTGACTGGACAGACGTCAGGCTGGTGTCAAAGTTCACGCTGATATTTATCTGACTCGCAGCTGATGGATTTCCTTCTTCCTGGGTGGAAGACGGCTCGCTCTCAGAGCGCCTGAGCTGCGGTGAGGGAACGCTGCCTTCTGGAGGAAGGAACTTTACATGAGGATGTTGTCCTTCCTCCTCCTCTTCCTCCTCGTCTTCCTCCTCAGGACGTCGTGAAGACCAGGTCTTGCGTGTCGCTTTGGAGCCTCTGCTTAGCTGGTTGATCTCACTGTCTGCTGCCATCTGCAGAGAAACACAACTTGAGGATAAAAGAAAAAAACAAAACAAGAGACACCGACCCACAACATCATCGTGTTTTTACCCCGTTAGTCCACCGGACCCCCTTCTCCGTCTCAGGAGTCTCTCCTTCCTCTATGAAGGTGATGCGGCTCTCTTTGGCGCGTAGCGGGGGGGTGATGGAGCGGCCTGGAGAGGCGGACGGCGTAGCAACAGGCGTAGGCCTCAGGTTGCTGCGCAGGATGGACTGCGGTGTGAACGCCGAAAAGATGGGGCCAGAAGCAGCCAGGGCCCGAGCTCGCTGGCAGAGAGGAGAGCAAACGGTTCAAACACCAACCTTTCAGCGGTTCAAAGTGCTTCACGTCATAAAAACACAAACATACAAAGTCATAGACGACACAATTAGCAACTGAAGCATTAGCATTTCGTCAAGTGTTGGAACGTCGATCAGCTGATTTGTTTGTGAAATCTATGAAGTTAATGACAAATTTCCCTGGAGACATCACAGATTTAATGAAGAGTTTCATCTAACAAGTGGATTCAGTGAATAAAAAAAAAAAGGATACAATAAGAGGAGAGCAGTTTTACAAAACCGTCTAAACTCACATTTATCTGAGCCTAGTGGGGCTGAAACGATTAATCGGTTTAATCACGATTAATCACTTATTGTAGAAAATAAAATGTTTATTTTCTTATTTAAAAATGTAACTGAATTATTTGTTTGTTTGCACCTTTTAGCTACTTTTTGTATGTTTCTTTACATACAAAGGGCTTAAATGAAAGGGCTGGAGGATGTGCCAATTTCTTAAATCTGATTAATCGTTGGAATAATCAATAAATCAATCATTAGCTGCCGCCTTAACGCCTAGCCATGTTTCACACAACAGTATTTACATTTTTTATATATATATATATGGGACATTTAAAAAAGATCAATTCCGAAAAAATGACAGTCGTCTAAAAATCATTGTCACTCAGCCGTTTTTTTTAGACGTAAAAAACGTAAAGCATCGTCCAAAGTGATGGACTCACCTTGACGACCTGCGGCGTCTGCAGCAGACTGAACTCGGGCGCTTTTCTGGAGCTCTTTGGAGAAACCCAGGAGGTCGTGGGTCCTGGGGGACTGAGGAGAGGCTGAGGCGTGTGACAGGACGGGTGGACCACCAGATCCATCAGCCTGAGACACAGTAAGAAGATTAATAACTAAATCGACTTTAATTAAGATGCGTTTCTGTGCATGCACTCAATGTTTGTGTCTTTAGTTATAAACTTGGTCAAAAACAAACGGGACTAATATCTTGTCACTTTTAATAATGACATACTTTGTGCATTTTAGAAGCAGTTTATGAATAAAAGTAATCCTTAAAGGGCCAGCTCCTTGTTCTCCTGAGAGTACCTTGACTTTCGTTTGGATGTCATAGTGATGGGCGTTCCTAGGAAGGGATCAGTAAAACCGAGCGACGATGACCTGGGACTGGAGCTCTGGGCAGCCGCTGCTTTTGGTCTGGTGAAGAAAACGAATGCGTCACATAACCATGAAACATATTTAAATACAGCAGAAGACAACTGAAGCAGCAAACTCACGTCCTGGCTGGCGAGGACTGGGGCGTCGCCTCTTTTCCGAGCCAAACCTCCTCGATCTTGGTGAGGACGCTGCTGATGAATCCAGCTCTGGACATCACCTTCTCGCTGGCAGAGCGCTTGGTGACGGTCGACAGCGGCTGCGGCCGAGAGACTACAGTGGAGCGAAGACATGAAATCAAAAAAGGATTTTAACCCTCCTGGGCTGAACATGTCGGCGGCGACGCAGCCAAACCGGCAGTACCGAAACTCCACCACACTTTGCTCTGTCTGAAAAATTCCAACGGTTTCTGAAACGTTGCGCTTTCCAGCCAATTTCGGATTATTACGGTAATTTTACTCCCACCGTAGCCAGGAGTGAAATTAATCTGATGGCCGCTCTTTTAATAGACGGAATAACTTGCTAGATATTGAAAGTTCCAGTTGTTACAGATGAATGGACGACATATATTTGCTAAAGAACTTTGTAGAATTAAAGTAAGCAAAAATATCCAGGCAGAGATTTTAAATCTAGGACTCAGAGGGTAAAGTAAAAACTATTTACACAAGATTACATACTGTCACATTCTTCTAAGCTCCAAAACTATTCCAAGAAACAACCATTGGTGGCAAGAGGTGGTTTGTTTCTTAAATGCATTTCTGACTTAAAATATGTTGTTTATTTCTATGAAAATATAAACAAACTACACCTAATCAAAATAAACAACAACAGAAACACATGCTGATGTCCACAGGAGATATAAAAGGTTTCAATCTCTGCTTCCACAGAGGAGAGCAGCTACCTTCTCTGTGAACGGTGGCTGGATGCTGATAAGGTTTGGATCGCTCCATCGCCAGTTTCCTCTGCACTCTGGGCAGAACTTTGCCGTACTGGTCCAGGATAGAGTTCCTGGTGTTGGATCGCTCTTTGACCTTTGGGTCTCGCTCGTTCTGCAAAGAAGGCGAAAGCTGTGCATCAATGTAAAGGTTTGATAGATGTTACTGCTCATAATAACATTAACATGATGTTAATCGTGAGAGTCGAGCTCCTGCACCCACCACCAGGTTCATTTTGAGGGTTTGGTTGAGCTGCAGAGCAGGAATGTAGTTGGCCTGCTGCAGGTAGTGAACCATCAGCAGCTCTCTGTTCTGAAGGCCGCCTGTGCCTTGAAGAAACTTTTCCAAACAGTCCTGAACCAACAAAGGTCAAAGGTTAAAACTGAACATGTAAAACGTTGAGTTAAAGTTCAATCAAATTTTATGCATTTCAGTAACAAAGTATTTCAAAACACTTTACATCATAAAACACAAAAATACAAAGTCAGAACAGTCAACATTACATTCTGCTGTCAGTACATATCAGATTATTGATTAATGTTTCATTGATTATGTTTCAGAAGCAACTCTAAACAGCTGGTTTTTAGTCTAGATTTAAAGGAACTGGGTGTCAAAAATCTCCAGTTTCAGACTAATTATTTATAGCATGCTGCAATAAGCGATTAATTTCATGATACATTATAATGAGCACTTCCATTCTGACGATTAATATTTTTGAAGGGCCGTTTTGTTTACGGAGACTTTATTATCTGTTGAGTTTCTCTCCCCTTTCGTTATTTCATTCATTGTTTTAGGTTGTCGTGTTATTTTGGATTTTTAAAATCTCTTCCAGTTCCAGTGTGAAGGAGCTGGAGAATTAAAGTTGTTTTTGACTAAATATTAGTTGAAAACGCTCTCAAAACAACTATGTTATCGTTTATCTGAATAATTACTGGGACAATTTATCGTCCGGCAGAATGTGCCGTCATGACGGGCCCAACTCCCCGTTTACCTGCTCACTGAGGCCCAGAGGCAGCTTGAGCAGCTCCTTCATGAGGCCCAGCTCCTGGCAGCTCTCGTACAGGAAGCCCAGCAGCTCAGCAATGTTCAAGCGGTTCGAGTGCTGCCGAAGTAAACACCACGCCTCGATGAGACACCTGGAACAAGAGGACACTGGCCTGTTGACGCGGGTAAAATGAAACGACGCCAGTCGGACAGAAACGTAACAGACCTGTTGTGTAGCAGCACGGACAGAGAAAGTTTGGCCTGAGCGGTGGAGGTAATCGGAGGCTTTGTGACGTGGAAGTAGCGCAGTGCCACGGACTGCTGGCCCTGACACATCAGCGCCTGCAGAACCCGCTCATGCTGCCACTCGAAATGAAAATGAGAAGCAGCCGGGTGTAGGAGCAGATCAAACGAACTCTGAGGAGGAGAAAAAAGAAAATTATGAGCACTAAAAATACAAACACAAGAGGATCCACAAGCTGTCATCAGAGGAAGATGAGAGAAATCAGACCCAACGGTCCAGTTAAAGCAACGTGGGATTTCCACATTTTGATCAATCAGAAACATCAAGTTCAGCATAAACAGATCTGGAAAAAAATGAAGAGGCCACTGCACTGAATCCCATTGAAAACCTCCTGCTTATTCCACCAAATGTTGATTTCTGAACTCTTCCTGAGTTAAAACATCAGTTTTGTTGTTTATAAATGAATATGAATTTGTTTTCTTTGTATTATTTGAGGTCTGAAAGCCCTGCATCTTTTTGGTTATTTTTTTCTGCAAATAAATATTAAAAATTTTTGCTTATAATTTCAGAGACATGTCGTCAGCAGTTCATATAAGAACAATGTTCATTTTACTCAAACATAAACCTATAAAAAGTAAAATCAGAGAAACTGATCATTTTTTTCCAGCGCTGTTTGTAAAGTTTCACTTTTTCTATTAAACTACAAAAACAAATTAACTTTTCAATAATGTTCTTATTTATCAAGATGCATCTTTATGCCTCATTGAGGACGAAGTTAGAATAAGTCAAATTAATAAAAAGCTTCACTTCGTACTTTTCCTCATAAAGGAAGCCCATCTGCAGCTAAATGATGAACCTCGGCTGTTTTATCATATTTTACCTGATGGTCGTTATGATCCAGCAGCCACAGTCCTTGTACCAGTTTAACCAGTCCGATGGGGATGGAAAAAGCTGTGGGAAAAGATTCCACTGATGTTCCATCCTTATTGGGGAAAGAGTACATGACGTCCAACAACAGGTAAATCACCTGAAGTACAAGTTAAGGATGCAATCGAGCTAATAAGTTCTTAAACATTATGGCGTTTTAGAAAAACCCAAACTCATGCTAAAGAAAGAACTGCTGAGGCGGCGTGACGCTGCAGCCAGCTGCCATTAGGCTGAGGATACAATGGCGTGCTTGGTAGCTTCTTCGATGTTGTCCAGAAGGTAGAGGTCAAGCAAGGCCTGCGGATCATAGGCATAAATTACATTTCTTTACAGAATAAGTTTCTGCATCAACACAGGAGATGAAATACATCAGGAAGGCAGAAATCAGTCTTACATGCAGAGTAGGTGGGGGGTACTGTCCTGTCCCGCCCTCGTCCCGCCGCCACAGATCGGTCAGACGTTCACCACACTGTCCAACCAAACCGTCGATCATAAGGCAATCGGCACACCATTTACTCCTGAAAGAGAGGGCACCTTGTTACCTCCTCAATAACATTCACAGTAACACATTTAAATATGAAAGATTCTGGCTAGAATATAGAAATTAGTTTAGTGTGTGATGGAGCTGAGCACTCACTTGGCCAGCCTGGTCAACTCCTCCCTGCGTATGGCGTAATAGTTACTGATGACTGAGTGAGTAAAGAAAGGCCTGGGAATCTGGAGAGCATCTTCATCTGGTGGCAGATTAGCAGGGGCAAATATGAGTGAATTCAGGGCAAAAAGAAAAAAATATTTATTTGGGTTTGTTTAAGAAATTCTCTTAAGAGAACAACTAGTTTTCTCCAGTTTTCTAATACCGCTCTTTTTCTTTGAAATAACTAATATGGTCACCAATTTAAACAAAAATATTTACACATGATATGATTTCTTTTTAGTAACTTTTCTAAAAGATCTGGTTACCTGATCCTTCAGGGAGTAAGCCGGTGCGGCAGAACCAGAGGACCACTTGAGCGTATTTGGAAATTAAACTGGACACCATGTTCTTGTTCATCAGACCTGCCAAACCTGAAAATGAGACATCCAAAGCTGGTAAATAAGCTCAAGAAAACATGAGGTTGTTAAATATAATGGTAAAATAATATGATGCAGAGATCAATTATGATTAACCTGCTTCTTCCTCATGACTCTTTTTTTGGTACCATAATGTCATAAATAATCTCCCAGAACACATTGATAACTTCAAAATACCAGGAATAAATGTTTTTTTCAAATGCTACAGTGATAAACAGATTACTCAACATTACTAAAGTCTCAGAGGATTTTAAGAAAAGGCCTCAGTGGTGTTTTTACTGACATCTCCGGCTAATGGAAACCTTTCAGACCAGCCTCTCTGTGTGTGTGAAGCACCTTGGTGTGTGAGTTCCTGAGCTTCGCTGAGCAGGCAGTGGAAGATGGCGCTGAGGTTGCTAAGCAGCCTCTGGGTGTGCTGCAGCAACTGCAGCGTCTGCGGGTCGGTGAAGTTGGACGAGCTGTCGAACAACGGAGCACCTGGAGACCAAATACAGAAATATGGATGAACGGGAAATTAGGACTTTATGTTGTGCTGATATCAGTTAGGTATGACAATGAAAAGTGCAGTTTGTGAGTTATTTATTGTTGCATGGTACTGCAGAAATCTGAGTTACTGGCCTGGCAACCTTCCAATAACAGGCCATGCAAATATTCCTGATCCAGTTTTTTAAAATAAAACAAAGTGCAGAACAGAAGGAAGATGTTTCTAGAGATTTTATCTTTCAAAAAATTTAAAATAAAATAAAAATTTGATGGAACTTTGAGTCAACATTTAAAAGTTTCGTTTGAGCTAAAGATGTCTCTCCATATAAATACGTACAGATGCCGTCCAGCTCCTCTTTGGTCTGGACTACTTTGTTCCAAGCCCAGTCCAGGATGTAGCGCAGGTTCAGAGCAGATCCTGGTTGTTCTGTTCAGGAGAGGAAATCAGAAGTTCACACCAGATATTCCACATCATGACAGAAGAAACACACAGCAGTAAGAATGAATACTTTATAATCGATCTTTGATTACAAGCTTAAAACTAGGATAACTATCTTCACAGGGTAATTTTAAGCAAACATGCATCAAGTAAATCCAGAAAGGCGAAAAAGCAGGCGGGCCGCCGTGCTGCTCCTTACCTTCAGCAGTCCACTGCTTAATGCAACCAGTAATTAAGCCCAAGGAACTGGTTTCAACTGCTGTTGACAAGATGGCATCGAGCTGCTCCTCCTGCGACCAGACAGAGGAGACATCACCAATGTTTTCAGCAGAAATTACATTCTGTTTCCTCTGTTATTTTTCTTACGACTGATGCTGAGTGCTCTGGCACTAATACTGCAAACTGAAGCGGTTTAAAAATGTCATAACCTCACCGTTTGTTTAATGTGTCAAACTCAAGGCCCGGGGGCTAAATCTGGTCCGCCGTAGCTTTTTATGTGGCCCTATGGACTCTAAATTACATCAATAAGTCCTTACAGTTTTTCACAGATCTGCAAAATTCATACAAAATCAACAGATCCTCACATTTTTTCTGATTTCTTTCTCAAAATTGGCCAAAAAATGTTGCGCTTCAGTGACTGCTGCCTCAGCCTCTCTTGCTGTCAAGTTATAGTCCGTGAGCAATTAATAAAAAAAGTCACATTTAACCTCATATATCAGCGCAAATATTATAAAAATTCCTTATAAATATTTCTAAATTAGCACCACAAAATCTGTGATTTTGATTGTAGAAACCACAAAAATAATTGCAAAATCCTGGATGGACTGATCAACGTGAAGAGATGTTCACTGTTATCTCATATTATGGAACGCTGAAACTGATATTTATTGATATTTTAACAATTTAATTGGTTTTTAATCAATACATTCTGGCCCTTTAAGAATATAAAATTTTTGATATGGCCCAAAATGAAAATGAGTTTGACACCTCTGACCTGAATGATGTTGGCTCGTAAAATGTAATTTGTTCTCTTGAGACCACAATCAACACTAGAAGTCAGCAAAACACAGTCGACTGACCAGAATACTGGGTTTCATTTAAATACATCTACAACAGGAAACTATTTCTCATCTTGCAAAACTTCATGAATTTTTAAAATATGTTGATTTATTAGCATAAAAAGTTCCAAGAAAGTAAAGTTTAAGCATAAAATGTTTAACAGTGCAGTTCCTACCTGAGAGAGGCTGGCCGCCGGAGCGTCTGCCACGTGGGACGAGAGGAGGCCGGACATCAGGCAGTGGGAGTAGCTGATGGAGATGATGTCACTGGAACAAGGTGCAGCTTTCTTCAACAAACTTAAAGTCTGGATTTAATGACAAAAACAAAAGTTCTCCTAAGTTTAACTTTAAATAATCGATATAAATGGAAAAATCTACCAATGCTGAACTCAAAGGCTATTCAGCACAAACTTGCCTCTTTTTGATGCCCAGAGCAGGTTAAGTGCACAACTCCAGAGTTAAGTAGGCAAGTAGCATCTGGAACAGAAAAAATTTAATCTTATAACAACGGAAGAAAATCATACAATAAAAGCAAAAGTAACTTCTTACAGATTTAAAATTAATACAAAGGTTAATTTTAAATCTAAACCTACCGAAGTTGTAAGTGGTTGGGTTGAAGTACTGCTCCGGAGGGGGGCAGGTGAAGGGCAGGCCCCGGCTCAGGCTGCGCTCGTGTACAACCACATCCAGGAAGGTTTGGGTCGACACCATCTGCACCACCGAGTCCAGGGACCAAACGGCCAGGTAGGGGCAATTCTGGAGAGACTCCCCGGTTCTGTCAGAGGGACCAATCAGCTGTTGGATCAAAACTCATCTAAAGTCTTAAATCGCGTACATTAGCAGGGGTGGATGATACCAACTTGGTTTTATTTGGTGATAAAGCTAACAATAAACGCAACGACAAGAAGTATTTACTATTTCTTTTTAGGTAACTGTGTGACTGCCACAGCAACAACAGCCCCACAAACACCACTCTAGAAAAACATTTCCATTTATAGAAGGACACCAGTCACATAAACAAATGTTATTTAAATCATTAAACTACAAATAATAACTGCATGTAATTATATTATCAAATTTATTGATGCTTTTAGTGAACTGTTGAAAAAATTTTTAAAAATCCCGACATGGGGTTTTTAAATTTCCTAACAATAAATCAAAATCATCATGATAAGAAATTTATCACAATAAAAGAGAAATACGATAAATGCCCTGCCCGAAATATCAGGATTCTTTTGGACCTTAAAATGCAAAGTGACCTGGATAAACATGAACTTCACTTAAATTACTAATTTGAATTGAATGACGGGACGTCTCCACTGTACCTCAGAGAGTCAGGCATCTGTGCATGGTACCAGCGGTTGATGTCAAAGACCCCGATATACATAGAGGGACTTCCCTGGCCATAAGCCTTGACTTGCCAGCAGAAGATGGACAAACTGGTGTCGGGGGATGCAACTGGAAAAAACAAGGACAGAAAAACCGTGAGAGATGAAGGAGGTAGAGAACTAAACGCGTCACACAGACACAAAACCGAGGGCTGTGACCCAAACGGCACAACTTGTTCCCAGATAAATACACCAAAACAATAGAGAAAAGTCAGGGTTAAGTGCTACAAACGAGGAGCACTGCTGACCTTCATTCAAACTGTCGTCCCTGTCAGGATGGGCTCTGAACTTCTCGATGGTCTGGCAGCTCAGCAGTCGTGTGTTTGTGGCCTGAGCCCTGAGAGGAAACGACGTGCCGCCCAACTCCTGACTGTATCGCTCCTCGCAATATTCCAGACCCTGTGAGAGAACGACATGTTTCTCAGCACAGGAATGTCTACTTTTTAGAGTGGATATTAGTAAATACTGAGGAGATAAACTCCAAACCTCATAGAGGATCTTCCCAGAAGCCAGACACTTTCTTTCGCTGAAGGCCAGCTGGAGCAGGTGGAGGCTGACCAGATCTCCCTCGCTGTGTGGGAGGAAAAGAAAAACGAGGTAGGACTGAGTGGGAAGTAGTCATGCTCGCTTTGTCTGAAACTAGAAATGCTAACAGCACAGAATCCTGATTAAATGCGACTCTTACAGATCCTGAGAAGACTGGACAGCCCAGAGGTAGCAGCAGTTCCTGGGGTCGTTCTCCGGCTCCTGGAAGGTGAAGGCATGAACAGGCACTCTGCCCCCCTCCAGCTGCGAGTGGTACCTAAAGTAACACATCATTACAGTTTTATTTACAAGTGGGAGCTGGACAGCACATGAAAAACAAGCAAATCATCACATCGTTTTACACAAATCTTTCATATTCTGGTGCATCTGCTGCAGATAAATTATAGGTTTTAGGATCACTGCACAGAAAATTAATTTTCTAACATGATGTAATATGTAAATGTACAGCGAACGAGTGAATGAAGCTTTCTTAAGGAGCTCCTGGTAGACAAGAAAACCCAAACTAGACGGAGGTAGATGGGTTGGTAAACCTGGTGCTCATGAGTCTGCAACATTTTGAGAGAAAAAACAAAATAGTTTGCATAAAGCACAGAAAAATGAATTCAATCCACTGTAAAATATTCCAGTTGATCATTAAAGATGATTTAAACGGGTGCTAGCTGGGAACATTGGAGCTAAACTGTGGAGGAAAAAGTAAAGAGACAACAGAGACGAGACTTGAGTGGGTTTAGCTGCTCTCCTGATCCACTTCCTGACACATAAACAGAGGGTGGAGCTGCTTTAGTTACTCCAGCACAGCAAAGTTATGCAACATAATCCAAAGACTACGATGTCACACACCCTCTTTTTAAAGGCATATGTGCATTAATACCGAGTTATTTTGTTTCAAAGCAAGAAACTTCATTTTCTGGGAAGCTGAAATGTATTAACTTGTGGGATAAAACATTTTTGGGGGAACATCCTTTTAAAAAGCAACAGAATATCAACATAAACACTCACTCCTTCTTCAACGTCTTCATGTTCCACAGCTGCAGGAGTCCATCAGAAAATCCCACTGCCAGCTGGTTGGTTCTGGACACGTACTGCAGGGCCGTGGCGCCAACGCCGCTGGGCGGGTTCAGCTGCAGGCAGAGATGTCTGCCCTGGCGGGAGCTGACCTCTCTGAGCCGCGGGATGTCTGCAGGAGATTTGGTCACCACCTGCAGGTCTGCAAACAGGCAAATGCATTCACACAGAAATAAAACAGCAAAGTTGTTGTAGAATGTTTTTGAATCCACTGTATTTTTCTCTGTAGAGGAATAGCTGAGCTTAGCTCCAGCTTTAATCATCTCCAGAGATTTGATTAATTTATTTTCTGCAGGCCTAAAGTGTTGAACAAGTTTCCTTCTAAGATCAAAATCTTGATGTAACCGATTTGTTTAATTTGTCCGTGTTATGGAGATAAAACTGTAGATATTTTAGGAACCCAGTTGATCAAAAGTTCAAAAAGCAAAACCAAGAAAACAGAAAACAAACATCGTCTCACAGCCTCTTCTCACCTGATGCCTCCAGTTCACTCTGGCTGCAGGACAGATCATCAAGACAGAGGTCCACAAGCAGGACATGACCCAGATCCGTTACCACGGCAGCAATGCCAAAGAACCAGCGTAAACTCTGGTGGAGTTGCTGCGTGGAAGTGCTGGCTCCACCATAACTCACTAGAGGTTCAATAGCTGTAATCTGGATGGAAGGGAAAAAAAAAAAAAAATCACATCACGGTTAGATACTTTATGCTGAATGATTAATCTTGTAAATCAAGTTTTTTATAAAGACAGACTCAACAGCAATGCTACAGCTACCTTCTAAGAACCAGAACTCCACAGTTTTCACCGTTTACCTCAAGTTGTCTGCTAAAAGTCTTTGAAACATTTTATGCCAGATGTAAAAGAATCAGCAGCAAACTCACCCTGCCTGGTATGACCACAGCTTTCACCACCCTGGACAGTCCCAAGTCATACAGACACAGAACGCTGCCTTCGGTTTCCTCCAAGCCAACCAGCAGCCCAGACCTGGAAACGTAATGAGAAAAGCATTAATTATTATCTCCACGTAAAAATGTGCAGACAGCCGTTCTATAAAGCTGCACACATTTAAAAGAAAATTAAAAAGTAAGCATGAGGGCACAGTTTTCTGGCCAATCGCCGATTATCAATCTTTAAAATGGATCCACATTGACCTTTTTTATACATGGCTGCTGAAGAATAATTATCACAACAACAACTGACACCAGTCTATTGATCACCAATCGCAGACATAAAAACCAGGGAGGCTGAACCCGAGTCCTGACCGTTTGAGCCAGCTGAAATCCCTGGCAGCCAGAACAATGGGTGGGTGTTCTCCTCCTCCGCCGCTGAAGCAGTACGCAGACAGCCGCTCGCCTGTCACGGCGTGGACAACCTCCAGGTTGGACCCACTGGCCAGCCAGGCCAACCCGCTGCGGCCTTCGTATGAAAAATAAAGAAATAAAGCCTCGGTTACAATAAAAGACAAAAGTAACTGCAGCAAATCAATATAAAAGTCAATGTAATCTAGCAATTCTACATTAATGTGAAAAATAAGAGGATTTATGAATCATCTAGCCAGCATAGATATCGGTACTGTTTTAACAACAGATTGTTGTGATTGAGACCAGATTTCTTTAAGGTGCTGAATTTTTGTTTAAGTGTCCTGTAAGGTAAAGGTCATTTTATTCATATAGCACATTTTCAGCAACAAGGCAACACAAAGTGCTTTACAGGAATTAAAAGGAAATACAAACAAAATAACAAACCAAAGGAAAGTGCAAAAGAAGAGAAAGAGAATCTAATGTTGATCTAAAGTATGTAAACTGGGTTCTCCTGTTCAGGGTTGCTAGATAAGTATAAGTGCGTATCCTCTGGTCTAATTTCTTTCCTGGGTTTTAAGAACAAGAGCCTCAAATGTAGCTGCTAAGGTAGTTCTTCTGGATTCTAAGTTTGTTCTAATTTATAAGAGTAACTAAATCAAAGGATTTGTACCTGATACATTTTCTCAATGTGGTTCCAAAACAGGGTCTCCCTCAGTGTATTATAAGCCTGGCGGGCCACCAGGCTTTACTTGTGCCCCACCAGGCTAAGTATGGTTGATTTATTAGTTTTTTTAAATGATTGCCTTTTTTAAGACTTTATAGTTGGCGTTTAAGTATTAATCTTGCATAACTATCAAATGATATTTTAAAATTTCCTGTCAACTTCAAACATTTTTAACTCAAAAACACAGCAGGTGGCTGGATGACTGCCGTGGCGCCCTGAGCACCGGGTTTCACAAGTTTTCTTTGGGAAACCCTGTAAAACATTATATCACCAGCTTAACTTCACTTAAAAAGGTTTACAAAATGTTCTACTTTTTAACAACACCCAACGGCAGAGAAGCTAATATTATAAATTACTAGTAATAAATAAATGCTTACCGACAGTGAACCTGCCATGAAGCACACAGTCCAGGCTGATCTCATCCTCACCCAGAGCGTCTACAGTCACTCCAGAGAAGGGCAGCAGGCTGCTGGTGACTTGGGCAGTCAGGTCATGCATCGTTCACTGTGTCAACAAAAACAGAGGAAACCCGTCATAATTCTGGCATATTTAACGTTAACTGCCTAAACACACAACCCAGACACACATTTAGAAATCATTCTACAAACTGAGAGGACTCAAATGTCAACTTGGCAGGTTCTTAGCTCAAATGAGTGCTTTGTTTCAAAGCACAGCTGCTGACAATCGGGCCTGAAACTGAGCTTGGGTCCAAATCAACAACACCGCCGCACATCTGTTAGCTCATGTACAACCTGACAGCTAGCTCCGCTAAGCTGCTGCAGGAAAGAACAGCGAGGATATAATGAGAAAATTGCAGGATCAGGCTCCTTTCATATTAACGCTTTTAGGCAAACTCCTTACAGTAATACTCTTAAGTATTTGGCATTTTAGTTTCACTTTTAGTGAGCCACAGATTCTGTAATCTATAAAAAAAAAAAAAAAAAAAAAAAAACCACAGATTTTTCTTAAAGGTTTCCTCAATGCTTGCAAACAAAAATGTAACACTTTCAAGGATGGTCCAGCTGTGGCATGGCAACATTTCTGCTAAAATATAGAGATAAAATATATATATTTTTAAGTTTTTAGCTCTGTTGAAGTGTTTTCAAAACCCCCCAAAAGAAACAAATGAGTTATGCGTTTGTGTGACAGGCTGCTAGGGACACAATGTCTGAAAGAAGCAGATAAACTCTTTGCAAACCAGTCTGTTATGTGCACAGATCAAACCTGTCCCTTTGTAATAATGCCTTAAAAATATCACTGCAAGTAGCTTAAAACAAAAACTTCAACAAACGAGAATAAAATCATACAAGTACAGAAGATTTTTAAAGAAAACAAATTAACAGACATCCAGAAAGAATGAGGAATCATTGTTTGAGAACAGATAAACATTTCTGGTTATCTTTGGAGTTTAACCTGCTCATTCCATTTCTGACAGATTCTAATTTTTTCTTCTAGAGGCTAAAACACAAAAATGTGCCGCAGGTTCTCATAAAGTGCATCCTGTTGGTTCTTAGCTTGTAATGGATTATATAATAACTGGGGTGATCAGTATGCAAGATGCCAATTACAGATCAGAGAAAAATTAGCTGATTCTGACTTTTAGTCCTCTAATGGAGCAGTCCTGAACAACAAAGACTCGTGTATCTTTGTTGTTCTCCTTATTGGCTTACTTCCATTTTCTTAAGTTATTATAATTTCAATGCCAGGTTTGCAGATTTTTGTCACAGTCGCATTGAACCGATGCACCAGCCCAAGTGAGGCGTACAAAGCGGTGCTGACAGCCGAACTGCTTGTGTTGCATTTGACGCAACACTGCCCTCTGTGACCGCTGGGGAAAACACAACACGGCCGATTCAAGTGAACTCCCGCGCAACCATCCAGCTGGCACCGAGAAGACACGCGAGACGGCACATGTGGACAAACGGGGACAACCAACAGCAATGTTTAAATTTGAATGGGGGACCACACATTAGCGATGGACCAAAAACAAAGAGTTTTATAAAAAAAGGCATGAGTAGATTGGCACAAAAAGTGAAACTACACCCGTTATAATTCGGGATGTTGATGTGGCGTATCTTTTTACCGCATTTAATGTGAAATACACGCTCCAAGTCAGATATACGAACCAATATTTCAGCGGTAAATAATGAGGCAGTGGAAAAATGTTATCACCAAAGCAACGATTAGCCTCACAGACTAGACTTACCGACGTTGGGCCAACTTCACCAACAGCAGCTAAACTAGCAAGTGACCCTTTTAGACAAGTAAACATAAATCTGCATTATTTTCTTAAACGTAAGCTACTATAAGGTGTGAGATAAGTCAATATTTTGAAGAACTATAAAGGGATTAAAGAGTATTTGTCGGTTTTCCTTCAGTTGCAGTAGCAAGCCGTTAGCATGCAAGGTCACACAAGATTAGTTGATTTAGCTTCACCGACACAACTCAACGCTGGATAACAGTATGTGGGAGTTTGGTAGTCCTATTATTTTGTGATAACCAATAATATTGATGCTACAAAAAACGAACAACAGCACTGACAAGGTGTAGTGATTGCCTCCTCAATAGAAAGTCGGGATAGTTGAAAATACTAGCTTGGGCTACGTTGCTACTTTTGCTAACGCTGCTAACTTGGAAGCCGAAAGTACACCTCATAACTACTGCGGGGTTTGTAGTTTAGTCAGGAATATCTTAGCAGAGGTAATGTCTGACTGTGGATTCCTTGCCATTAGCAGCAACTCAACACCTTAAGCTAAACCCATTTGCTCTGGTGCTCATGCCAAGACAGTTCAAATGTAACGTCAGGCTAAGCACTGATAGCTTGTAGCTCCTGGCAACACCGGGAATTAAACAGTCTCAGTAAAAAAGCTCTCAATGCAACTCGTTTCTTTGGGTTTAGCCAACATAAGGTAGGTGTAAGGTTGTGTTACGTCTGAACTAGCGAAGCTAGAAAACGTGATGCACTGCTATCATCGTTACACTACCTGTCCAAGGATGATGAAGGCTTCGGAGCCACTATTGCTTTGTTTTCCCTCAAGAATCTCTCCTTCCTCTGTCATAATCCGTTTGTTCTCGAAATTCACCAATTCCAAGAGCCTTAAGTGAGTTTAAAAAAAATTACAGGAACGAAAAGGCTCTGTGGACTTCAGGCTTTCACAACACGAAGCGCCATTTCCACAGTCGGAAAGTACGCCGTGCAGCTCTTGTTTGTCGTCCTCGTTTCTGGGAGACGAGGCGCGGCAAACCCAGACGTTCGCCCCCTTCTGTTTGGGCGGAAGATTCTCTTCGTCAGGTTTTACGGCGGTTGCCAACTAACTTAAAGTAGCATTACCGCCACCTAGTGGTGGTAATGCTACTTTACCCTACCCTAACCCTATAAAAAGCCCATGTTAGATGTACCCTACAATAGAGCCCCGTTTTTGTTTAAAATACATTAATACCTTAGCTGTGCAACATTAGTTCCTTCAACCTCACCTTCAAAATCTCCCCATGTGCACTGTAGGTCTAAAAACCACATGTTCAACTATTTCCCCTTCCTGTTAACTTTCACACATCCCTGTCTCATGCTTCCTTATCGCATATAATGTGCTATTGTATGTAGAGTCCTAATTCCTAATTCTTGTTCTAGCAGTTTCTTCTCTCCTATACTCTCCCTGCATCCAAATGCTTTCACCCTATTTTGAATGTGATGCAAATGCCTCATTTCTTTCTAGTCTCCCTTGAGTGAAAGCTGCTCTTAGGTGATAATTATCTGATCTAAAACATAGTGGCCACAAACATAAAAGCAAATGCAAAGCAATTTCTGACTATCAAAGTTGTTATACCAAGATGAGTTGCGTTCATATCCCACATACTTAATACATTTTATTTCAAAGCTCCTTTCATAACACTCCAGGTCACTTAAAAAAAGAGAGCAAAAACAAGAAACATCATGTGTAACAGGAAATCATAGGCATTTCCTGTTGATAAATACTCTGTAGGCCAAGTCTGATCTATTCATGTGGAAGTTTGAGTCTGTCTTATGATTATTTTCACATGACAGGATAGCGAATATTTCAGTTCAAACCAAACAGAGTGATCATAAAACAGCTTTGTACAAAGAAAAACAAAACATGTTTCTTTTCCACCTTCACTCAGCCAGAGGTTTCCACTGTTTCCATAAATAATAGTAACTTTAACACAGGATAAAGCCTGAGGGTGTGACGAGAATTTTGAGAATTATCTGACATCATCTACCAGGTGTTCCTCTGTATCGATTAAAGACAGGTATTCAAAGAGATTAGAAGGGAAATTGTAAAAGTTAAACAGATTTATAGGATTTCCTAAACAAAATTTCTGCTAAATGACTGCAGAGATGAATTTCCAGAAAGAGGAAGCCAAGGCTTTATTTGTACACAGCAAGCATTCATTCAATATGCATTTTCGCACAAGCAAATGCAAAAAAAAAGAAGAAAAAGAAAAAAAAGTGCTTCTTAAATGCTCTGAAACTTTTAACGATATTATTTAATAGATAAGCCCAATTTTTTAAAATTATAAGTGTAAAAAAATAATTAAAAAAAGACATACTTGCTTAAAATAATAAAGGATATTAAAGAAGTCGTCATGTTGCATTGTTTTGCGGGGCAAGTTTTTTTTAATATTTCAGATAGTAAAAAAAAAAAAAAAAAACGAAAAAAAAATGCATCTGTTCCCCAGTTTTAACTGATAGAGTCAGAAAATAATTCAAGTCCTGTATTCTGAAGCTGTGACTTCCTCCACATCTGCCGTTCAATCATCAGGTCAAACTCTTGCCTTTCTCTAGAAAAAGGTAAAAAGGAAGAAAAGATCATTCATCAGTTTCAAATATGGGCAAAGATATTGTTTTTATTTTACACCTTTCACATTTGAAAACACTCAAATCCTACCTGTTGCTAATGCATCGCCCTTTCAGGTACTTCTCCTCTGCCTTTTTGACCGAAACGTTGTCCACCCCAGCAATGGCATAAATGATAGCCTGCATAAAAAGACAAGAAAATTACAAGTTAAAAAATAAAATGAGAGACTTGTGTGCGCAAAAATGTAATCAGTAATATGTGCGAGTCTTCTCTGACCTCCGGTAGAAGCACATCTAGGACAAAAGGGACGCGCTCCATCGACTTCACGTCGGCGAGGCGAGGAGATTTGGGCACAGCTTTAGCGTAGAGCTCATTTAGGTACCAGTAGACCCGATCCAGCTGCTGGTCGTCCTCCAGGTAAATGTTCACCACTCTCCGTCTTTTGGCACTCAGAAAAGAGCGGAGCCATCTGGACTCCTGCTGCCCTCGGATCACGGCCTGCAAGCAGATTAAATTAATTAATTAAGCAGAGAAATTAAAACAAACGGTAAAGTTTGTTTGGAATACATTCATATCAGTTAAATCAGCACTGCGACTCTTTAACTGAGTAAATACCCGTCACAGGTGCTCGGTAGTTATTGTCTGAACAAGTTTTCTGCAGAACAATATGCTTTCTGACGCCCAGAGGCAGGCACAGCTTTCATGTTGGAAGTAAAAGTTCAAGCTGTGGTAGCTGAGGAACAACATGATGTTGATAAAAACAAACAACAACAAAAAAACAATAATCACTATTGTTAAACATGCATCGCTACTGTTATTGGTCAGTTTAAAACAGATGGTTATATTGTGTACTATGGATCACTTCCCTAATGCATATCTCACACCTAAAAAGACAGACTGAAGCTATAGATTAAAGGTATAACATTTCCCCCATGACAAAGACTGCATGCTGTTAGTATGAAGCAGATCTGAAAACCTCCCATCTTTACTGGGAGGACGACTACTACCAGCCAAAACCTGTGCAGGTATCACAACTGCTAGAGAACCATAAGAAAATAAAAAAATACTCAAATATTAAGATTTTTGAAGATATCAGAGATTTCACCAAAGACTAAGTTAAACTACAGGCTCAGCTCCTCAGATGTAAGTCAGTAAAGAAATAATACTTTATGCTAACCCAAACTACCCCAAAGTTTAAAGGCAAAGTCTCCTGGTCAAACCACTTCTATCCACCTCAGTAGATATAAAAAGGATGTGAAATGTGAAGGAAGACGCTCTGCAACAGCAGCAGAAATAAAGAATCCTACCAGGAGACGTTTCTCCACCATCCGCTGCTTGACAATGAAATGAACCAGCTTCTCATTGGCTCGGTTGTGGGCAGCATGAGTTCGGTCCGGCAGCAGCCTCTTGGAGCAGGTGGAAACGTCTTTGTGCTTCTCGCCAACGCTGTCCTCCTGGTGATGTTCACACGGTTCCTCCATTACGACATCACTGGTGATTGTTAGTCTCTCTGAGGCAGCCTGCGGATACTTCCTCCTCACCGGATAGCCTGTTGCAAAAACAGTAACAGTGATTAGTTTTGCAGCGTCAGACGTCTGCGAAGGCGTCGCTGTCTGATGAAGAAACTTACTCATGTCATGATTACAATACTCAATGAAGGAGCCTGAAAATGAGCCGCATGCTGAGAGCAAAACAGAGAAGGAAACATGGTAAGAAGTCGCTTCACAAAGTAAAACAATGCTTACATAAAATGAAAGTCGGAGGACTTTATCATATTTGGTCTGTGTCAAATGCAGACAGTCTACATCCATTTCCAAAGGACTGGAGAAAGTAGAAAACAAAGGACTTTCAACATCACCTCAAACAACAAACGTTTTGTTAAAGTCCAGTCTGATTTCTCCTCTGCCTGCTGATTTACCTGCTCCGCCACTTTACGGGTCGTAGAAACGCACTTTGGTTTCTCGCCTATGAAATCCACATCATGCTTTTGTTCTGATACTTCTATTCTTATACTTCCTGTTTTTTGTTTTTAGTCTAAAGCACTCGAGGATCAGCCTACTGCAAAGCGGACAGCAGTTATTACTGTAATTCCTACTGACCAATACGCATCCTGTAGTCTTCTATGAACTCCAAGGACCATGTAATAGCAGCCTCATATGACTCTTTGGCTTTTTGCTAGAGAAGAAACAAACTGTCAGGACAGCCTTCACAGACAACCTTCACAGATTAGTCAGTGGTGTTTGAACAGAGCTTACCATCAGTTCATCTGCTTCTTCACAGTCAAAGGGTTTCAAGGTTCTCAGAGGCAACGTGAACCTTCAGGAACAACATTTGAAATGTTATGTTGCGCTCAATAACATTTCAGCAGAGATGCAGGTACAGGACGAAATGAGTAATGAGCAAATGAAAGAAAAAAACCAGATTTTTGTTCCTACCCCTTTTGTTTCTGAATCCCTGTGAACGCCTGGTCAACAAACATGACGCTTGCTTTCTTCTGTCTTCGGTTCACATTTTTTACCTGCAGAAAACAAAAAACAGCAGATGCTGCCTGAACTGAGTCATTATCAACAGGGAAACGACATAGGCTGAAAGGCCACTCAGAGAGGCAGAAGCCATTACTCCAAAAGCTAATGTTTAAGATGTGACCTGCGGTCTTATTAAACCAAATATCAAAGTGCTTAAATACCGTAGCCACATTTGGAAGAAAAAGGTTGCAAACCTGAATCTGATCTGTGAAGAACGGAGGAGGCCGTAGAGCTGTAACGATTCCTCGAATGAGTCGAGTTCAATGATTATTAAAATCCCTTGAGGTAAATTATCTGCCCCAAAGCTCTTAAATTATGTTTTATTGTTTAGTTGTTCAGGCCAGGTGATTATTTATGTTGCGCAACTCTCTCACTTCCGCCTCTGAGTTGTTGCTAAGTGTTAGCAGCATTACATCCAATTTTTAAGTTCGTTCCGAGGGGATTTTATTGATTGGTGATAATGTTTGGGTTTTTACTGTTTTTTGGGATCAATAAGCATCCTTAAAGTGACTGGTGCAATGCCTGGAGTACAGCAGCCTTTCTCCTCCCAGAGCTGCTTCCTGGTGGCGGTGAAGAGCGAACGGCAAGGAAGAGCGCTGCAGGAGAGCGGATAGACCGAACACAGAGGATAAATTTCATTTTATCCCAACAAATGGACGGCGGAGCGCGTTGTGGCGCCAAATGATGGAGCCAAATCCAGTCGCTAACATGAACACAAAACCTATAAATGGCTGTGAAATGTGGGAGTTCATCTATTAAACTGATTGAAGATGGATACATAAACTAAAAGCTGGTCTACAAACGTCTGAACGTTATTATTCAATTTCATACAATGTCATATTTTTTTTTTTAATTTTGCCAGATTAACTGGAAAATTGAGCTATTATGGTTACAGGTTACTTTTCTAAATTACAGGGATGTTATTGTTCAAGATGCACAAATAAAAAAAAAATGTTGATATCCAATAAGTAACACTGTGGTTATGGTAGAATTTACCGATAATTTACTTGATCAAATTTTAATTCGATAACTCAGTTAACTGTATGAATACAATGCTTGATTACTAAAATAACCATTTCTCTAGGTGGCAGCATCATCTGTTGGGGGTGTTCAGATGCAGGAGGGTCTGGTGCAACTCCAAAAATAGAAAATAGCAGCTTGAGGAAATGACAATATGTGGAAACACTGAGATGACATCTCAGCACATCAGGAAGTCAAAGTCTAGGTCCAAATGAGACCACAAACACACAACCAGAGCAGCTGCAAAGTGGCTTAAGGACAATAAAGTCAATGTTTGTTGTGGCCTTGGAAAATTTCTAAGCAGAACTGTTAAGATGTGTGGGAGCAACGACTCAGTTCTACCGGTTCTGTCTGGAGGAACGGCAAAAAAAAAATCCCAGCAAACTATTTTGAGGGACATATTAGTAGAAACAACTTTGCTAATACTAACTGAGCCTAGAATGAGAAATGTTCACTGTGAGAAAAACTTTAGTATCTCCTAATGTTTTCGTCCTTACCAATGCAGGCCAGTATGGATAGTTTCTACATCTGCCCCACACAAATGCTCCTTCTGTGATCGATGGAGGTTCTGCAAGACAACGATCAATTAAAAATCCAGTAGGGATTGTGGAGATCGTTTGCGTTCAGCCACTGCGGTTTTCTCCTTACTATTGTTTTTCTGCATCAGGAAACTTGGCAGATCTTCCTCCTCCTCATCTTCACTCTCATTTTCTTGTAAGGGCAGAGAGGGCAGCTGTTCCTCATCATGATGCAGTTCGATTGAAAGATCTGAAGATAGCAAAGAGTCATCTTTTTGGGGATTAGAGAGCAGACAAGACAAGGGAGTCAGAGGTCATTCCTGCATTCAGGAAAATTGTACAGTGCCAAATAATTATTTTTTAAAATATAGAGGCATTAAAACTGAATCTGAGACCAGCAAAAGGTGCAATTAGCTGAGCCCAGGGTTCTTTAGGACGTTTACTTTAGGTGCATTGAGACAAACATCAGACGGTACCTTGTTCAGCTGCATCAGGCTTCTGCAGCTCAAACTTCGGCCTCAAGCGTTTGGATGGCTGAGTGCCGTTTCCCTTTGCATCTCCAGTCATGGTCTTCCGCGTCCTACCACGCCGACGCTTCGTTGAAGTCCCGTTTTTCTGGGTTTGCGCCACGGCCCCTCTTTGTTTCAGTTGCCTTGGCTGAGAAGTTCGAGACTTTCTTTTTTGAGGTTTCACTTTGTGGCATGGTGGATCGTCCTCTGGAGTCTGCAGCAACATGAAAAGATGCTATACTGTATTAAACGTGTCACTCAAATGATATTACACCATTTAACTTTAAGTGGGTTCCCTCGGGTATGAAATATCTGGGTATACGACTTCACTCGATTCTACAGGAAATAATGCTACTGAATGTGGAACCGCTTCTTCAGAAGATAAAAACTAATCTTAATAAGTGGGCAAAACTGAAACTCTCTTTATGGGGAAAGGTGAATGTTATAAAAATGGTGATAGCCCCATTATTAAATTATGTGTCCATGATGGTGCCTGTTGACATCCCATCCCAGGTTTACAAACAGTATGAGACTTACGTTAAGGACTTACTTTGAAACAAGAAGAAACCCAGAATTAGAAAATGTGGTGTGCCAGAGACTCGGGGAGCATGGCCCTGCCTAACGTAAGGCTATATAATCTCACATTTGAAATGTCTAGGTTGTCCAAATATTTCGAAAGGGGAGAAACAAAGCTGAGCTGGATGAATACTGAAGAGTTAGTGAACCCTTCCAGACCAAGTGGTTATTTTCCACTCTCTGGTTTTCATAAAGTGTTGATTTGCCAATACCACTTTTTGCCAATTCAGATTTTTTTTAAAGAAAGATAACATAAAAACGTTTTTTTTTTTTTTATTACTTTTTATCGTCGCTTTTCTGGTTACGATTGATATTTTAATCTAAAATATCAAGGCCATATCACCCATCCCTTCGCATTAATGTAATGCCTTCAGAGATAAAAAAAACAAAATTTTTTTTTTGATTTTCCAAATGGACAGTGCATCTCTAAAGCTAAAAAAATGCCAAAGCATATCTCAGTAAAAATTTACTTCACACCTCACCTTTGCTTGAGTGGTAAATTCAGCGTACTCCAGCGGCTCTTCATCAGCTCTGGGGGAGGAGAGTGAAATGTTGGATGTGGAGGAGCAGTGCACAGGCATTGAAGTCACACTAATGGCTTCTTGTGTCCGTCTTCTTCGTCCCTTGCATCTCTTGGGTGTAACTGGTTCAGATTCTAAAGCAGGCAAGCTGAGATTGGAGATATTATCGAAAATGGGCACTTGTGCAGATGACGGCGACGGGACATTATTAAAGACGGGTGACTCTTTGGAGTCACTTTTCCTTATTTTACGAGGTCTCCCTGGAAGATAATACAAAGATAACCTCAAGTCAATAAACAGTTGAGCTTTGAAATAGAACAACATGGACAATGCAGGAGATTAAATGCTGTACCTCTCATTGTTGTGTGGCTCAGTGTGCTCCTCTCATTGAAATGATGTGCTTTGAGTTTGTTGGCAGACAGATGAACATGAGTACAGAAGCGACATTACCAGGGGAAATGTCATCCACCCGGGCAATATGAATGTCCTTTGTAACAATAAAGTTGACAGACAGATAAAGAAATGAATGGAGAAATTATTAAGCAATAAATTGTACACTGGTGAATTCATGTTAAATACGTTGTCTAACTCTTAGTAAAATGACGGGAATGTGTGCATTGCTACAGCTTTGTTTACTACAATGTGTCAAAACAAGCAAGCTCAGCAGTTGAATAATAAGTAAGCATTAAGATCATATCCAGATTGAAAAATGCATACAAACAACGAAATAACCTGCAAAACAAGCTAGTTCATTTTGGAAAATGCGCCATAACAACCCAAAAATGTCTGCTGATATTTTTATTGCACAAGGTTTTAATTTAAAGCATTATCATTTGAAGCTTAAAAGCCAAAATGTGAGATAATAACGTACAAATAACTTGCGCAAAGCAAGAGGTGGGATGTCAAAACATAAGAAGCCAACTGCCAACACTAACAAAATTAGCTACAGATTGAAACTCACCGTAAACGCTGTGATTGTTCAGAAACCCAGAGGCATCATGCGTCCCAGTACCTGCTCATATTTACTGCAGCACCAGGTCGCAAAAGGCAGAAAGACAAAGTGCTGAAAACTAGCTAAATATTAGACGGAAAACCGAAAGCAACGCGATATCAACACAAATTCCTGTTTGGAACAAGACATGACTCTTGCTTCCATTCGCGGGCTGTGAAGCGCTCTAAAAGAATTAACCAAACGCCACCTCGTGGCCCGGAGGGCAAGTAACAGCTGGTTTGAAATGCACTTTTTTAAATTTTCTTTAAAATTACACTCATATTATGTAAATTACAAAACTTATTTATAGCAGAAACTCAACTCACTAAGTAAAACACACTATATAGATTAATCACACTGAGATGAATGCTTTTAAGTCTTTATTTTTGTTGATCATGGTAATCTTCAACTTACAGCCTTTGAGAACCCAACATTTTAGATTTGAATAAAAGAAAATCCGGGCTCTCGGTCTCAATGTTAAAATTTCTACTTAAAGGACTTTTTAAGGTACTTTTAATATAACAAATAAGCCTCATTGCAGCACATAATTTATTATGTAACTCTATACTTCATGTAGACAGAGACAATGCAAATACATGTAAGTAAAATGGATAATATCAAAAAGTTGAGTTCAGTATATAAATTCAAAAAGAGAATCTCTGATATTCAGAGTGATATTTTGACATACAATATTACAGCACAGCTCATTGAAATCTAAAACTAATTTTCACATAAATATTTAATAAATAAAGATTTTAAAGACATAACTGTTTTTGTAACAAAGAATCATTGCTAAAAAAAATTGCTGCATCCAAGTGTATTAACGGAAGGTTGAGTGGAAGAACCATGCATAAACAGCCTGGACAACTGCAGACAAAGACCTGATCAGGCATTGGGAATTGACGCTTTCCATTTTCAAGCAAGTTAAGTTAGTGTTTCATTTCGAAAATGATAAAATATGCAAAAAGGTTCCACCTTTTTTGTTTGTTTGTTTTGTTTTTAGGACTGAAAAGAAGAGCATCAACGAAATATTTGGAATAACAACTCTGTGTTTTCTTTATGATTTATATTTTATTTTAAGAGAAAATTTCAACATATGTATTTTTCTCTTTGTGGCTGAAATGTTTCGCATTACACGTTTAACTTATAATTAGCTCAACAGTACAGTCCTTTTCCCCACCGGACGTGGTTTTACCAGTAATAACCCCACGTGGCCTGCAGAGGCCAGTGTGTACCCGCCCCTCTACTGATCACGTTTGTTTTTTGTGAGTAGTTGAACACAGGGGTCTTCTCTGCGATGCAAATCAATTCAGATTTGTCCTCCAGCAGAGATCTCCTGATCTTCATAAGGTGGAATCAGGATAATTAAACAGAAGTTTTGACTTGAAGTCTGGAGCTGCTAGCACAGCAGCAGGAGACCTGATGGACCAGCCCACTCTACTCTATTACAGGTTTGCTTAATTTTAAACATCTTGACAAAAAGTATGAGAAAAATTTCCTACTCTTAAACACTTAAAACTGCTTACATATTATCATTATTATTTTTATTATTACACACAATGATTACTAGGGATCTAAAACTGACATATTCTGAGATAAAGTCCTCCAAATACAAAGGTTTCCCATATTTTTCAGGTGTCTAGACAGTAAACACAGAACATGAATATATTTATATATAGTTGGGGGGGTTTCTCTCTCTCTCTGACGCATGTAGTCCAGATGCCACTCAGCTGGAACATCTGGACGTGTGATTGGCCTAAGGTCGATGAGGGGCAGGTTGGCCCCGCCCTCATCCAGATGTGCGTCTCGCTCCAGTGTCCTTAGTCCACTGCTGGCTGCAGCAGAGTGCGGAGCGTCGTGAAGTCAACAGGAGGGTGCGCATGGGTCCAGTTAAAGTTCCAAAAGCGAGGCGCACGCAGACTCTCGTCGCTGAGGTGCTTTTTTCAGTCGGATGCCACCCATTCTGACATGCGTTGATCATGTTTTGTGATCTTCACGGTAGACTTCACCCTGGAGGAGTTAGATCTACCTGAGCGGGTTAAGATGCAGAGCTAATGGAGACAGGCAGGGCTGAGCGCGGTGCCACTCCAGCGCGCTGAGCACAGAGCCACAGAGCCTCATTCAGTGCGGAGCGCAGTCTGCCGCATGACTTGTGCATCTTTTCTCTGCGCTGCAACTATTTCTGGCTCAATTTTCACCAAAGAAGCCGGTTTTGTTTTCCTTGCAGCTTGATGGGGATCACACCTCTCACCACATGCGTCTGACTACGGCGTGAGGTGTACCGCAAGACCGAGACGAGCGACCTGCAGGGGCGTGCAGTTAATTGAAATCGATCCAGTGGTTGTTTTTTTTTTTTGAATGTGAAGCGGCAGAAGAGGTCATTTCTCCTCTCCTCCTCCTTCTCCCCCTCCTCTTACCTACAACATGACTTCACTGTCGGGGACTAGGGAGAGGAGCAGCCGGAGCAGAAAACATGGGGTAGGTTTTTTATTTTTAAATTCCGGATGAATTGGTGCTTCTCTGTGTGTAAACCTGGAAAATCTAAAAACTTCTCATCCATTCACTGCTCCACCCACTACAATGAAGTGCAGCTTGCTTCCATCTTTAGCTGGTCATAAATATACAACCTGATGACAGCTCTCATTAGGTTTGTGTCCATGCGTAGTTCACACATCACTGCTCATAGTGTCACATCGGTGGGTTTAAATTCATCACGCTGCATCTCTTTAATTATCACTGCCAAGTCAGGTGTTATTCTCACTCTCACACCTGTGCTTCTGGCTCTTCTGCAATTAGCTTCAGTTTATTGCACAGGGTTTGGTCATAATATAGCAGCCTCGCCACTTCCCCACCCATCATTTTTATACATAGCTGCTTTTTTATGGCCATAGAATTAGTGGCCCTGCAGCCACTACACCAGAATGTCTAATTCAACCTCGAAAGATCCACTTCTCACCTCATGACACTCAGTTGTTCACATTACTAAGTCAGACCAGTTTGCAATAACTTGAATTTTTTGTAATGTACTGCTATTTTTTTTTGTTGAGGAGCTGAGACTCTGTACCTAAAGCTCCCATTTACCTCCCTCTCCTCTCTACCATTCATCATGAACTCCTTCTCTAGAGTCAGGGACGTAACCCAAACCTGGAGGGAGCGGTCCACCTTTTTCTGGTTCAGAACTGGAAATGATGAGAATGGTCAGAACTAAGTCCAAAGATGCCAACAGAACCACATCATCTGCAACAGAAAGATAAAACTCAGAGATCTCACAACCAGATATTCTTCCCTCCACTACTAAGCCTTGAAGTCTTGCTCATGAATACAACAAATAGGACTGGAGACAAGTGGCAGCCCTGGTTGATCCCCCAACATTCACTGGGAAAAATCTCAGCTTTGTGCTGAGAATAAGCAAACAGTTCTTGCTTCGGTCATACAACCAAGTCTCTACAAGCATCCCTGTTCTCAGTGTAACTGCAGCAACACCAACAGAAAAGCTTCAGTGGCCCAAAAAGAGCCAAAAAGACAGACTGCTCGGAAATCCTGCAAAGGTAAAGATCTAGTCCATAACAAACAACATTCCTCCTTGAACCAGCATTTCTAACATCCTAGACAGGAATTTGTTGAGGTAGAAAGATAAGTGGAAGACTCTCTCCTTTTCTAAAAATTAGGACCACAATCTTGGTCTACCTTTCCACTTTTCCAACTGATCTTAAAGAAATGCGTCAACAACAACAACAGCCCCTGAACGTCCATAGCCCCCAGCACCTCGGGATAAATATTTGTCACTTCTGGCTCCCTGCCGCAGGGAAGTTGTTTCATTACCTTGGCAATGTTTGCCACAATGATTGTCTCAGTTTTCCCTGACTCATCAGACTTCGCCACCTGAGACAGAATGAATCCAGTGAGACAGTTCAGGCATCTGTTCAGGATGTCTGCTGGGTGCCTCCATTTGGAGGTTAACCAGGCTTTTCCCACCGGGAGAAGACGACTCCAGCGCCTACCCAAAACAAGCTGGAGAGACTTTATGCCTCTTCTGGCCTGGAAACACCTTGGACTCTCCACGAATGATGGGGGAGAAGAATATCAGGGGTGTGCAAATGAATGGATATCTGTTATGATATGTCCCAAATGTTGGCTGTCTCAATCATGAGATGTTCTTTCATATTTCATTTTTTTCTGGTTTTATCTCTATTTATGCATCCAAGCACGTGGCCCAAACATCAATGTAGAAGCTGCTGTTTGGTGCACATATGTGCCAAAGATTGTGGGAATTCTTAGTTATGATACATTTAATAAATCAGATTTCTTTCTGTTGGATCTGCCAAATTCTGATCAGAGTTGATCAATGGATAATTGGACAGCTGATTGCTTTTAGTCAGTGTTGCTGTCTTATGTTGTTAATACTCATTTATTTATATTCACTCTGGTTCATTTACTTGGCCCACTTTTTCTCATTTAGAGGCATGAAGGGGTCGTATTATTCATGCAGTTTATGGGTAAGAGGCGGGGTGAGGCCTGGACATGTTGCAAGTAGAGGGCCAACAAAGAAATCCACACACACTGCTTAGCTCAATTTAGAGCAGCCAATTAACTGAACATACATGTTTTGTGAACTGTGGGGGGAATGAAGTCCCTAGAGAAAATTCAGCCGTTCCCTGGGAGAATTCAAGTTAGTGAAGATTCAGACCAGTAAAGACAGCTAATTATCATCTGCATTCGCCAGCAAAATGTGTAAAACATGCAGTAGATAAGAGCTTTTATTCAATTTATAACTTATTCATATATATATACTGTGCACTCAGAAATGTTAGTAGTGCTGCTCTGCTTGTTCAAGAAAAAGGAAGAGCGTCATTGTTTTGCCTTCCTAGCAAAATGGCAACAGCTTAAAACATGCCATATGCTCTCACATTTATGCCGACCTTAACATTCCCTGAGCAACCTCTTGCCTTTATGTTCACACAGTGTTTTAAAGCAGGATCTATTATGCAAAATTCACTTTTCACACATTTTTGTACTTCCATTTGGTCTCAGCTGGTTTTAGCCTAATCACTTAGAAAAAAACACCTGCCCAGCCATTTTCTGGCAATAAGTTGATGTTTTTTGGCATCTGGAAAGTGAGTTGTTTCAAAAACCTCCCAAACAATCAACAGGCACCGCGCTGTTACCTAGCAACCGCAGCCGAGCCCAGCCCCATTACCTGGCAACCCCAGCCGAGCACAGCCCCATTACCTGGCAACCCAAGCTGAGCTCCAGCATGTTTGGTCAGCTGGTTTTACCACTGCGCTGTACAATGGCTGCTCGAAAAGACAAATGTTTTGTTGCTGTCTTACCATCCAGAAACCACTTGCTGCATTCTTGGTGGTTGTGCATGAGGCTCCACTTCTGCTTTTCAAAGATGTGCGGTTGTATAGTTGCAGATCTGCTTGAGTGTAAACATTGAGTTGGGGGGGCAGCAGCAGCTTATTTGGATTTAAAGTGACAAGATGCCCTAAAACAGCCCAATCTGAAAGGAGATCAACAATATTCAGGACTGAACACAGTAAAACCTCATTGTCTAAGAATGATTTTGTACAAAAAATTTAATGAACATGTTTTATTTAGCCCACAGACCTTTCCTAACCTGTTCAAGGAACCATAATGGGTCACCTTTAAGATATAGCTCGTCTTTCCTAACAGTGAAACTATCTATACATCCCCACAGATGCCTGACTCCTCCCCAACAAAATCGGCCTCCATTTTCCCAGACACATGGTGCCGAAAGGCCTACGAGGAAACCAGCCGCTCCGGCACTCGTCCAGCGCCAGAGGGAGCTGGCTCCATGCCCAGCTCCACTGGTACCCCTTCCCCAGGCTCAGGGATCTCATCGCCAGGATCCTTCTCTGGATCTCCAGGAACCATTTCCCCAGGGATTGGCACTGGATCACCGGGTTCTCTCGGTGGCTCTCCGGGTTTTGGGACAGGATCGCCGGCCTCGGGGAGCGGAAGTTCACCTGGAAGTGAAAGGGTGATATGGTGTGAGAACTGCAACACGCGTCTGACAGAGCTGAAGCGTCAAGCACTGAAACTGCTCATCCCAGGCCCGTACTCCAGCAAGGTAAAAACCGTTTGCTTCCCGGAGAACGTTTAAATCTGGCTCGCAGTCAGCAGCACAAAGTTTAAAATATTATTCCTTGATTAACTGCGACACTCAGACAGAGGCTGTCATTAACTTGGCAGTTCACGGAGGACTGGGGTTCAAATCATTCGCTTGTTTACAGTGTTGCTGTGTCATCAGAGTTATTGTTGCCATAAATCAAAGGGATGCTGTCATCCCATGAGATCCACCCCCGAGCTGAACAGAAGCAAAACAGCCTCTGGGATCTGGAAAATTTATATCTGCAGCTGCTAATCAGGTTCAGACAGAGTGACAAAACAAGATGGTGACCACAAACAAGAAGTCTGGTTGAGTTTTTGTTGTTGTTTCAATTACTTTCAGATCAGTTTATTTACATAGTGGCGTTTCACAGCTGTCAGCATAATGCACTTTACAAGACAAACAGCTCCAAGTCATATGGAAATAAGAAATGAAATCAGATTCCTTTCAATCAAATCATGCAGATTCAGACTCAGAGTCCAACTCCGAGTCTGTTTGTGCTCCAAGTGATCATCACTTTAAAGAAAATCATCATTTTAAAACTGCATTTGTATTTACAGAGATTGTCTTAATTTAATTATCTGAAATATTTAAATTAGATTAAAGATAAATCTGTAACGGGATAGATATGTTTAACAGAGTTGTACACAGTTATCCAGTTCAAAAAGAAATAGAGATGACTGAAATAGACCAACAGGTATTATTTCTTTTCCAGGATTGCTTCTTAAAACGGTCATAAAAGTCTATTTGTATATAATAAATGTATGTATTTCTTTTAGATCACGCTCTGAAACAGATTATTTTGATGTTTGGGTTCACTTGAGGCAAATACATAAAACATAACTGAAAAAAAAAGAATGAAAAAAGCAAACAATTGGTGTTGTTCATGCAGAGATTTTATACTTGAGCTACAAAAACACAAATTAACTCCTGGGAGAGCGTTTAACGTCCAATTTTTTCCAACTCTGGTTTGCCATGAATTTTATTTTCCTCTGTTGCAGCTGAATAACTTTAAGCTGTTGCCCACACATTGGCCTTGGGTTAATTGGTAACAAATACCAATATGCAGAACTGCATTAATAAAGAGCACAAAGCGAGCCTAAGCACTACATTTGGACTGCTAGAGTTATTGCTCAGCCTGTATGGAGTTTCAGGTTCTTTTAATTCAAGAGTTTAACTGTTTGACATTTTTTCAAAGCGCTGAGGTTTGCTGATGGTTAGAAGGCTATTAATTAGGAGCAATTTGGGAGTTTGGGTTCAGATCTTACTGATTACAGCCTTCTTTGTGGTTAAATGTATTGCAGTGGAGGAAGAACACAGTCAAAATGCTGCATCACAGCTGCTGTAGGTACTGCTTTTGAGAAACTTTTACAGAATTGTTGTTTTCATTTAGTCACATTATAAACACTGCAATATTTTTTAACACCATACTGAATAATTGTGGGAGCAGGAGACAAATAATACATGGTTTTAGTACTTTTTGACAATTAAATGGTCAAAAAATTCATAATTATGTACTGCTTTGTAGGTCTCTATTACATAAAATTTAAATAAAATACATCTGGCAAAACAAAATATGAAAAAAATGGGATGTAAAAAGGGGTGTAAATACATAATTTCTAATTTTATGCAGTATGCTCTTTTTATGGTTCTCTATCAAATCAGGATCATCCACACCAAGGTAAATATGACTCAACCCATGTACCTGTCAAGCTCTAATAAACCTCCCACTGCTGCTCTTTGATTTCCTCCTGTGATGTGGGTTTTTTTGAACCATGCATAAACACACCTGATGACTGTCTGGAAAGCTTTGATGCGCAAACAGAATCCTTTTTAGTTTTATTTGTTTTTGTTTGAACAAGCATCAGTTGAATCCTTCAGCAGCACTGTCAACTAGATCTTTTATGGTTTAGCAGAACTGGTTTAACACAGAAAGGCAGAGTTCACTCCCGGACCTCATTTACATGTTTTCTCTTGCCTGACATGCTAACTTTCCTCTCCAAAGCAACACATGAAGCAGTTAACATTTCCTGAATTGAATGATTCTCTTAACTTCTACGTCTTGCCCTTCTCCTTCCTGCTGTTTGCGGAGCTTCAGGGCAGAAGCAGGAGCTGTTTTGCTTGCTTTCAAATTCCTGTGGGTCATTACTGAATACCTTAACAGTTCAGTTATTTTAGCCAGGTAGAGTTTCCCGGCTGGCCTTTCCTTTGTTTAACCCAGATGTGAGTAAACTGACCTGTGCAGGTGTTCTGTGTCAAAGAAAAACCGAACTCATGTCCTTGATGAAGCAATGTGACCCAATAATCCTTCACCTTCAGCAAATGTCCTGGAACAGCAGTTCTCTCTGTGTGTGTGTGCGTGCGTGCGTGTGTGTTTCTTGCAGTGGTGTACTGTCAGAATGAGACCTGCTGTTATTCCCATGGGACAGTGGAGTGTGTGTGACCCCCATCAGACACACACGTAAAGGAATACTAACACACATTCATCAATTTTTACCAACCACACAAACCTCAGTTTGTCTCATGAATATGAATACATGACAGGTCACACGCACACACACACACACGCACACACACACACACACACACACACACACACACACACACACACACACACACACACACACATACATTCACAAACAGTCTAACCCTGATCTTAAACCAAGTCTGTACCGTCAAATTGAACAATTTATGCAGCTGTGACCTGCTTTTGGTCCCCCCAGAAAATACACAAACTTCCCACAGAGTGGCTGTGTAAACACATTAGTCCTCCCCACATGAAGGAAGCATCTCCACACACACATTATGTTAATGATGACCTTCACAGCTCGTACCTTTTGAATATTGCACTGCTTGCATGTCTGCAGTCTAGTGAGCCTCTGTCAGTTTGCGTACAAAAAAAGGGAAGATGATAGAATTAGCCTTTTGCCCAAATATGCCAGTGCAGATCATTCACTGGCAGAAGGTGTGAATATAAACTTGTCAGGCTTCTTTAACAGGTACATCTGTTTAGTTGCTTGTTAACACCAATTGTGATTCTGCCCAACCTAAAGCAGAAAGCAAACTACAGTGCAGGGCATTCTGGGTGAAATGCAACCAAAACAAACGAGAGTCTAAGGCTGCAGGAGAAATTTCTCTTGGTCTGACGCTGCTACGCTCTTCTTTACATTTTGCAAAGAAAGACGTTGCGCTCATGACCTCTTCTGAGGTTTTCGTGTTGCTTTCTGCAGCAGTTCTTTGTGCAGCGCCACCACACGTTACAATGGAGGAACAGGTTTCCAAAGGCTTTGAACTGTTTGACCCAGTGCAGTGAGGAAATTAACCGCACCAGCTGAAAATGTAACAAATGTTTCAGTTTTCGTCCCCAATCAAACTGAGCCTACCTGACAATCAGGTGTGAAAACACCCTTAGTTCATGGGCTTTTCAGAAACTGGTTATCTGAGTTTAGTGAAGAATGATCCAAAAAGAGGGAAAGTTTGAACAAGAATGCTTTGTTGATGTCAAAGGTGAACAGGTAACCTGGTTAAAGGTGATAGAAAGGTGACAGGAGCTCCAATAACAACTCATTACAACCATTACTGAACATGCAGCACATTGAACTCTGAAGCAGATGAAGAGAAGAAGAGCACACCCAGTACCACTCCTAACCCATACAACTCATACCTGGGAGTTCAAATTTGACAAAGGATTGAAAAAAAAAAACTTTGAACCTCATTTTAGACGTTAATGTCAGTGTCTAAATTGCTCCATCCTGCCTGGTGTCAAGAGTCCAGGTTGTGTTGGTGGCCTAATGGTGTGGGACACATTTACCTGTCATACTTTGAGTCTTTTGTAACAACTGAGCATTGCTCAAAAACAGCAACTTTCTGATTAATGTTTCCAACATCTTGTTGAATCTGTGCCATGAAAACTGGGCAGCAGTGAAGGCAAATATGATCCATCTCTGTAGTGGTAAACGAGTGAATAGTAGTTATTCCAATCAAGGTGATTCATCTATTTGTGAATTTAATAGGATGCACCTCATTATTGTATTTAATCATTACAGAGAAGCTTAATGGCTTGTGGTTTAAAATAGAGGTGACAGTTTCCAGATTAAACCACAGACGATAGACAAAAGGAGTATTGACAGCAGATATGAAAGAGCCGCTCTGTGTTTTTCCTTTTAGTGTGACTTAATTACTTACGTCAAATTAAAGTCAGACTCCTCTCAGATTGGTTTATCCGTCTAACTAGCACCGTTTTACAGGCAGCCGGATGTAGGAGTGTGTGCGGCATGCAGGTAATTTAGCTGGAGGCAGGTTGTATTAATGCAAAGCAAAATGGTGGCCTGCAGACTCGGAACGAGCAGAATGTGTTTCAGGTTTAGACACAGGAAAAGCAAATGACTCAAAAGCACATGTGGCGAAACAGCTGCACTCACTTGAGGCATTCGTCCCTGCTGTCCTGGTGTGTGTGGCTGTGCATTTATCAGCCGAATCCACGCCCAAATCATAAGTGGATGGAAGATGATCTGCTTTTGGTCACTTCAGGAAAGTGGGTCACTTGACGTTCGTCGGCTTCAGAAGTCTGTTTCTGATCAGCTGAAAGTCAAAACCATCCGTGTTTAGAAAGTGAAACATATACAACTGTAGATCAGACGTGGAAATGCAGCCAAAGAAGGACATGTTTGTAGCTTTATTCCCCTGGGAGGACCTCCTCCAGGAAGCTTGATTTAGCGAGATTGCTTTCATCTGCGCGTTTCTTTGTGTCTGTTTGAGTTTGTCATTTGAAGAACAGCGCTCGCTTCGCTGTGGGAGTTTCCTCTGGATATACATATTACACACGCACTTAAAATGTTTATATTAGCAAACCCACTAATGTGTCTGCCTACATTAGATGGTACATTAAACACTTGTCAGCAATTTCTGCCTCGGATAAGTTTTTGGTTTGAATGCCTGTCTCTAAAGCTAAGGTCAAAGAAACGACTCCAGGGAGAAATGGCATCCAGAATTATGTTGAATTATGTTCTGTATGTATCATTTTCTGCTTTCCCTTCTTAATAAACCAACTTTTTTGACAGAGGTTCTTTTTTATTAACATAATCTACTATTCTTTCACAGAAAAACAGTAAAAAAAAGAATGATTCAAACCAAATGAGGCTTTTAAATCTGCTCATAAAGACACGATTTGACTCTCCGGGTCATAATCTGCAGATATCCTCATCGACATTTTACACCAGTGTTGTAAAACCAGTGTTCATGTTTGTGCTGGGGAGGCTTATTAAAGAAACCAAGCTAAATCTGAAAGCGAGTCCATTCACCAGGTTGTGTGGGCGGTTGGCATGAACAGTGTGAGATTCCTACAATATGATGACAATAACTAAAAATACCACGGCTGTTACGATATATATGGAAAACAATTTGAATAAAAGTATATGATATTTACTTAAAAGCAACATGAAATCCTAACTCCTGAAAAAATAAGGCAATGTTTTATGATACAAATATAAACACCTGCTAAACCTAGAAGTGTTTTTAGTAAACATGTTTATTGCATTGAATATTATACTGCTGTACTTGTAATATTTGCAATGATTAATCAAAAAGCATGTCATAAACTCTCCTAGCTTTTCCAGCCAACAAATTAAGATTTCACACTCACTCTCATCAGTAAAGATAATCTCAGCCCCTGGATTATTGTCAGATGTTACAAGTAATTAGTCTATAATTTGTGCATTTATCAGATTAAGCCTTGAAATATCATCACTCAGAGGGATATTTAACTGCACAAGGGTAGATGGCTGTCCTGTAATAACCAAATCCCATAATACTAAGGCCTCTGGTAACCACGGCAGCTGGTGCTGCCTCTGCAGCGACATGTAACAGATGTGAGCTGCATACATATCTCTGTCAGTGTTAATGGGCTCCTCGTCTGTGTGTGTGTGGTAAGTGTGTGTGTGACTGTGAGAAGGGAAAGAGGGTGAAAATATATGGTATTAATGGAGATGATAGCCCATTTTAGTGTGTTTCCTGGGTTGTATAGTTCTCTCTCTGTGTGTAAGTAAGAAAGAGAGAAAGAGAAAACAATCATGGCCGCCTTATGCCTTTCAGGTGTGAAAAACATTACCATATAAAGAGGTGGCCTCATCAATAACAGTAAAACGGTGAGGATGGACGGAGGGAGGGGGACATGCTGATGCAGGCTCAATTTTTGAGCTTCTCTTAAGCCTCATGTCAATATAAAGCCAACCTACAAAAGGGCATACACCAGTTCACACAAATCTGGAACCAGTTCACACCAGTTCAGCATTAGCTATGACTGAAAAATTTTCAGTGAACAAATGAAAAAGCAAAACCTGAAGATTCGTGTGTATCTGTTGATGTAAATTTATCAAAAATTACCATGACTATGAACATGGTCGTAGTACAAATGGGCAACATGGAGGACTAACGTCTCAGCAAGATCTAGAGAAACTCATCCAGGCGTTTATCTTCAGTCACATCGATTACTGCAACAGTGTCTTCTCAGGTCTGTCTGAAAACGTCAATCCTCCAGCTGCAGCTGATCCAGAACGCTGCTGCTGGAGTTCTGACTAAAACCAGGAAGATAGAGCACATAAACCCAGTTCTAAAGTCCTACACTGGCTCCCTGTAGCTCAGAGAATAGACTTTAAAATACTGTTGTTAGTTTATAAATTACTGAACGGCTTATTACCACAATATATTAAAGATCTACTGTTGTCATAGCAACCTTTCAGAACCTCTCAGGTCTCCTGGTTCTGGTTCTGCTCTGCATCCTCAGAACCAGAACCAAACATGGAGAAGCAGCATTCAGCTTCTATGTACCACAAATCTGGAACAAACTACCTGAAAACTGCAAAACAGCTGAAACACTGAGTTTCTTTAAATCTCGACTAAAACCCACCTGGTTAGAGTTACTATTGATACATAATCAATTGATGAACAATTTGATGTAAAAATGTAATGTTTCAATTGTTGACTGTGTGTTCTATGACTTTGTATTTTTGTGTTTTATGATGTAAATCACCTGGAAATACCTTGTTGCTGGAAGGTGCTATGCAAATAAAAATTGATTGATTGATGGAAATGTTTATCATATTTTCAGGTAATTTATTCCACCATAATAAAGTATTTAAACATGTATTGCAATATGGTAAAACACAAATACTGCTCTTGAATAAAACAAATCAAAAAAGAAAAACCTACAAATTACGGAATAATCCACTTCAGGATCCCAGTTACATTAATTGGAACCATTTATATTCGTAATAAGCAGCTAAATTTTCTATGGCTAACTGAAAAGTTGCAAAGCAAGATTACTGCAGATTAACAAAGGGAGTCATTTTCAAAGTATAATAATAAGACGCCACCAACGTTTGGAGATTTGAATCTCAATCAGAGGCTAATCTTAAATACAGTTGACAAAAAAATCTTTAAGATAGTCATATTTAAATATTAAAATGTAAAAATTAAAGGTTAACGCAAACTTTTGATTAAATATCTGTTAAGGTGATCCAGATTGTCACTTGGCTCTTTTATATTTCTTCTCTCTCTTACGGAAATGTTGAGGTTTTCAGATGCCAACATTAAATAAACTGCACAAATCTCACTTATCAAATCCCCAAAAACATAAAATATACAAATATACCACACATTCATAGGCCGCAAGACAAACTGCAAGCAGGCTCTCCTCTGTGACACACTGGCAGCATATTGCCACAACGGGCAGATCACATGCATGGGCGCTCATACCCAAACAGACACACTGACACACAACAGCTTGAACGGATACCAACATGCAGACTAAGGTATCCTGAGGATAGTCTGAAAACACACAAATGAATGCACAGAGACACATGGCGTCACAGAGAACATTTGCACATTACTGGATCATGGTTAAAGTCTCAACAGCTGCTGCACAATGTCCACTGCTGCCATGGCAACTATCTCTCTTTTACCCATGCAGCTGAGAAAAGTACAAAATGTCGTTCAGGAGTGAAGTAGGTGCAAGTATAGGTTAGATAATGTGCAGAAATACAACAGTTTAATGGTTCTAATGCATTAAAATCCAACGCTTTAAATAAAAATGGATGGAAGTGTTGCAAATTTCCTTAACTGCTACTGCATAAATGAAATCATATTTGAAATGTTATATCATTTATAATAGTAATGTATGCTCATTCGGAAGTATTCTCATACATTTAAAAAACAAAATTTTAATTTCTTATTATTTAAATCTGTAATCATTATGATGTTGAATGAATCCATTTAAAATATCTTCGGAAATCTGCGTAGTCTTACTGACAGCGAAGTAGTGATCTCTCAGTCTCATTTTTATTACTCATTACTGTCATTATTAGGGCGTAAAAAATGACCTTAGACATATATTTTATTAAAACTGATCAGTTATTGTGTACACAGCATCTCACATTTGACTGGTAGGGATTACATGAATTTAATAACAAACCTGTTACTTATTTGCAAAGTTCTGAGTAAATATCTTTATGTACCGTTACGTATATGTTTTTGTCTACACTCTAAAAAGAAAATAGTTGAACCAACTTAAATGAATTGCTTACAAGCAATTCAATTAAGTTTATCCAACTTAATTTATTAAGTTTAACCAATTCAATATATTATAATCATCCAACTCAATTTGTTAATTTATTTTTAACAAATTTAAGTATGTTTAAGATAACAGATTTAAGTCAGTCTTACTCAAATCATTTAGTTTACTTCAAAAATGGTAAATAAACTTACATAGGGCTTTTCCAGTTATTTTGACCACTGAAAGCGCTTCATACTAGAGTCACATTCACTTAATGCACAGATCAGTAGGCAACTTGGGGTTAAGTGGCTTTGCCCAGGGCCACATTGCAGGAGGAAGCTGGAGTCAAACCTACAACCTTCTGATCACAAGATCACTCCGATCACAAGATCACTTCTGATCACTCTATCCACAGAGCCACGGTCACTTACCAGGGAATCTGTCCCTGGTAAGCTTGAGTCATGGTGTCAGACGAGGGATACAAATATGGTGATGAACTTAATTATTTCAAGTAAAGTCAAAGCAAAAAGGTCATTTAAGGAAAAGATTTGTGTATTTAGAGGACACTGTAAAAAGAGTATTAAAATTTAGTTTGGAACTACTTAAAAGTTTGAATTGACTTTCTGTAGAATTAAGTCAAAGATATTTAATTGTTTATTAGAAGAAAATAAATTCTTTGAGAAAGAGTGACTTAAATTTGTCATGTTAAACCCACATGAATTAAGTTATAAAAACTTATCAAATTGAGATGGAAGGACTTAGTGAATTGAGTTGGATGATCATAATAAATTGAGTTGGTCAGACTTAGGATACAAAACTGGCGTTGAACTCAATTGTTTTAAGTAAAGTCAAAGTGAAAAGTTCCTTCAGGTTAAAGATTTGTAAGTTTTGAGTTAAATGAACACAAAAAAGTAAGTTGTCATAGCAAAAGCAAAAGAATTAAGTTAAATTAATGTAAATAAGTCCATAAGATGAACTACAGCCCAAAAACACTTTTTAGAGTGTATTTGTTAACCTGTCAAGTGATGGTTATGAATAAGAAAGTTATGCACCCAAAACAACTTCAAGCACTTCATGTAAAGTGTTGATAATTATAATTAGCAGCCTACTTAAGTCACCATTTTTTCTCCACACTTTTAGAAACGTGGAGATTAAAAACGTTGG